AACTTCAAATGGTTTGTGCCATATCAGTTTCTTACTAAATGAGTTCAAATTTTGGGAGGCTCATCAGGACCCAATTTGGAACCGTTTGAGCACTGTGGAGTGAAAATTTCAAATTTTGCATCAGCCTAGTGCCCAAACTTACCCGGCATGATTTTTTACTTTCATTATTTAGTTATTTTTTATCACCAAATGAAAAGGAAATTTTCTGAAAATCAATGTAGGTACTCTAAAGATCAATGCTCATTAAATTTATTGCGGAAATTTTACACATTTTAGGTTTCAATTTTACTTCAAGCTTAGGGTGGGCATCTTACCCCGTCGTCCCCTATGGAGCAGATTCTGCTTTTTTGTTCGAAAAATGGACTTTCCGCTCTCTCTCTATATTCTCACATTGTGCTATATGTATTCAGTATCCTATTGCATCCGGATGGAACGAAGTTACGGATGAAATGGACGAACTGCGTGAAATGCCTTCAGGACAACGCTGCTCCAATATTTAGTACATAGTCTGCTGTGATGTGTTATCTACTAGTAGGTATCAGCTAGTTTAAAGAATTGAAAAGATGAATTTGCCTTTGATTCTAGATAAATGCAATGTATAAGTCATTACATCTCCTGTAATCTAATTATTAATATTTTTAGTAACATATTGAAGAAGAAAAAAATCAGACCTATTAACTTAAAACTATTTTTTATTTTATTAATCAATTATTAATTTACAGTCTGCCCCACATCGACTTAGGAAGGTTTCGAGTAACAGAACTTAAGAAAAATCACAATTTTAAGTTCCTTAACATAACCTAATAATTTAACAGTCTATTTTTTTCCTTGTTCTTGTTTTCCGTATCTGAGTACCAATGTTACCGACGCCAGGGAGATAGCTCTCACACCTCGACCCTACCTATTGACCCATCAGCTCATGGACCGAGGACCAACGGTTTTACTTCCCTTTCGAACGAAGGCGTGATCAGAGATTTTATGCCTCAGAAAATCCCGGCGGTGCCCAGGCACTTTGGGGTGAGAGACAGTCACGCTTACCACTACACCACCGGCGCCGCTGTCTATTTAGCCATGATAGCTATGATTTTGATGTGAAATTGGAATTTAAAGTCTGTTCCAGTTAGTATTTGACCGCTTCTTTTTAATTACTGTAGCTCCTCTAGTTGTCGTAGCACGAAACTATTGACAGCATTTTGATCCGGAAGGATTGTTTATTTAGTAGTGAAAATCACCAAAACTTATATACTTGTTGTTATCGAAGATGGAACGTGACAGACGTGAAACAACTCTGCACACTCACGTGCAAAATCCAACGTGGTCAGGAGGAACGATTGCAATGTTACCGGGAAACACTTACGTTGGATCGTGCAAAACAAAACAAACGTATAAGTGGAACATATGACCGAAAACTACGAGCAAAGGTCATAATGGCAGTCCAAAAGAATCCTGGAATCTCCGGTTCTGATTTGGGCAATTATCAAGCGCAAATTGAAGAAATGTGGTAAAACAATCAAAACACCATCTGATTTGGAGAAGTGGTGGAAAAGGATGGTAGATGAGGTTGACAGTACTACCACAAACGAAGTGACAGACGGAGTGGCTCGAAAACTTTGGTGACGCACCTACTATTGCAATTTTTCAGTGTACCACATGGCAACACCACTACTACTGGCTTGTACCAACAATCAATACGAAACTAACGATTTTAAGTTGGCTCACCACTTTAGTAGCCTATTGGTCCCAAGCAAACGATTAACGTACCCTATTCTAGTTGAAATTCTATTACTACACTATGTTTGTTTTGATTCGCTATGAAAGTTTGACAGATAACATCAGGGGTGTGTGGATTCATGCAGAACATGCAGGGGTGAGTGAAATAGCTTGGGACTGCTTGGGACCGTTGTTCTGGTACTGAGTGAGCCAAAAATAATAATGATTTTCTTCGGGACCCAGTGGTCTTAGAGTTACCTCTATGCTTGTACCACATGGCAACACTAATAACAACAATCAATACGAAACTAACGATTTTAAATTGGCTCACTACTTGACTAGCCTATTGGTCCCAAGCAAACGATTAACGTTCCCCATTCTAGTCGAAATTTATGTGGAATATATCGCGAATTGGTTGCCTGTAATTTACTGATTACCAATTCACGATATATTCCACGTAAAGTTGAGCGATAATACAAAACCATTAATGGACCTTACTGACTACCATAACCATTACCATTAATGTTCTCAAATCATAAGTAAAAACGTTCTTATATAGTTCTCTTTCTGAAAATGTATGGAGAAAACAAGAATTTGGAATGGTAATGGTTCTTAACAACCCATTATTTGTAAGGTCCAGTTCCAAAAAAACCATAATACATAAGGTTGAAACTTTAACATTAAACGTTCATGTAAAGTTCCATAACCATTTCAGTTAAAGTTTAGCAGGGATTATAAACAATTTTTAACCATTTTAGGTAAGGTCAATTTATGGTTCGCGTTTATGCGGGCAATCATACACTATGCCCAGGGAAGTCGAGAAATTTTCCAACCCGAAAAATTCCTAGACCGGACCGGGAATCGAACCCAGCCACCTCCAGTATGGTCTTGCTTTGTAGCTGCGTCTTTGCCGACTGAGCTAAAGGAGACCCCCTGGTACTATCTTCGGTCCCAAGCTAATCGATGCACCCCTCGAAACATTGGAAAATCCACGAACTCCTCATTTTATCTGTCAAACTTTAATAGCGAATCAAAACAAACATCACATCAAAACAAAACATGTGAATTGTCAATTCACAGCGCGGCACACTTGAGGCACACTGAGAAATTTTTTGGCGCAAAATAAGTGTGTAGAGCGAGGTGTAGAGTGACCACCACTTGTGTTGCATGAAAGAAGTCTTTTTAGAGTATAATGCTTTTATTCCACGTTCTATCAAGCTCTTGCAATCGATTTGACTGAGGTACTATAGAAGGAATCGTAAGTCTAATTATAGTTAAACCGCAGGCAAACAATTATTTAAAAGCGCTCCATGCCGTATTTAATGCTTTTAACCAAATGGCAATACAACTACATTCTTGTTGAACTCTGGAAGCTATTATTCAACGTTTGATGAACTCAGATGTTTTTTAAGCAGGCTTGTAATTGCTCATTACAGCTAAAATGCTAGTTTTCGTAATTATGAAACTATGGGATACTACCACAGACAAACAGACGTAACTCTTAGAAAAACTTGTTCTTGAAAACATAGTATCTCAAAACATATAACCTCAGTAACGACATCTCTCTGGCTTCTCGCGGAAAGCAAGCTTGCTCGCTAACTCGTAAACAATATTGCATAGAAGTTCTATAGAATATATAGAAACGTCAAAGTGATCCGATGCCAGCGCTGCGGTGAGTAGTTCACGGAACTGATAATATTCAAATCAACCGTTAAATGCATGAACGAAGATACACAATGAAGAGTTACGTCTGTTTGTCTGTGATACTATGTATAATGATAATTTTTGTTTGTAAGAAGCAAGAAGAGGTGGTAAAGTTTGTGTATGACATATAAAATTTGTCAATTTTGCTTTCAGAAGGTCACAACTAGCGATTTTATGATCGCTGATTGCTCGCTCATCGCGTTGCTTATCGTTACAGCTAATCGCTATTGTGAATTATTGAAAGCTAAATTGACAGGTTTTTATGTGTCATACACACACTTTACCTTTTTTTTCTTGTATCTTGTAAATAAGAATTATCATTGAAATTTCTCAAAGCTTCAAAAATCCGAAAAATAGCATTTTAGCTGTAATGAGCATTTGCAAGCTTGTTTATAAGTGCTTTCAATTGTGTGTTGGGTCCCCTGTTGGGGAGGGATAGTGAGGGGTATCTCCCCCCGCCACCACTGGCAAAAGAGATGATCACCGATTTGCTCACGTACCTTCGGTGTGCGGAAACAGTTCTATCCATTGTTTCACACTCAAGTTGCCATCTGACGTAGGCTACTAGTTGATAGGTTTGGAAATTGCAGCTATTGTTGCCTCTTCCGCTATCATTCCGATCGTCATCACCAACTTAACGATCTCGAGGAGGCACGGGTAGGGGAAGTGCTGCTACTGTACGTTTCGACCAATGACAGTATGATTGATGGTAAGCTCCCATATAGATCTAGGCAAGGAAAAGTGCGTGACGAGCGAGGTGACGAGGGGGTGGGGTATTGAAAATCCACTTTTTAGCGTTTCATAATATTTAAACGAGCCCTTACAATCGACGGCTAAAGGGCCACCCACATTAGATCCGTTTGCGTTGCGTTGACGTACATTTGACAGTTAGACAATAGATTTACCTGTCACTTTGCCGCAACGCGTCCGATCCGGATATAATGTGCGTGGGCCTTAATGGTGGTAAGCTCCAACCGCTATTATCCTCAGATTAAATCCCGATCCAGAATGATGGTGACGTCAAATTTAATCAACACGACTCTAAGCAAACATTTTGCAGCTTATTCAAAAAGGGACGGGATTAAAAGTTAATCCGAGTTGGAGCTTACCGCCATAAAGCCGTTGTTTACTAACCAATTTCGCTCTTTTGAAATGTTGATGAAGAATTTGTTTTTAAAATCCCCTTTGATTATGCAAAAACACATCTGTGCCAACATTTCATTAAGACGAAACGGCTTTTGAAAATAACTCCATCCATCGATTTCTCGCAAATAAAAGCTCACTCCTGCAAATAACGGTAAAGAAACCATTATCTACCTGATGGTGTCGTTACTTTGCCTGTGTGGGTTTTTATACGCGAGAAATCGACGACTAAAGCAATTGTTAACAAAAGCAATTTAGTTCTTTTGAAATGTCGGCACCGAATGATTCTTGACAGTTGATTTTACCGAAGTAATTTTCCTGCAAAGCACCAGCTGACAACATCTCACCCTCGATCTCACCCCTGTATTGTTTCTATAGTCTTTTTCGCCACCGTCCTAGTTGCAACTGTCATCGATCTGTCAAATCCCACCGAACGAAACGTCAAAACCGTGCGAAAAAAGTCGAAAAAGTTCCCTTTGCGTCGTTCCCGAAGTCGCAGTCATCTCCATCAGCAGTGTGCAAAAGTGCTCTTCTGCCGTAGTAAGACCCGAAAGGAAGGCTTTTCAAGGCCCCGTAAGCAGAGAAATCGCGGAACACCCATCAACCGAGGATGATCGGAAACCTGGCCAAGCTGTCGTACGTGCGCGGAGTGTCGCAGACCGTCGCGAGCGGTCTCAAGGCCGCAGCGGTGCCCGTCAAAGTCGAGGCTAAACCAGTCGTCGCAGGTCAGACTCCTATTGTTGCCAGCTCGCCAAACTGTGCACTGCCCCGGTCCGTTCTCCGGGTGGTGTCCGGAGTTGCAGGTGGTTATTGCCAAAGATTAAATTTCCAGTGGTTGAGGATCGGTTTCCCGGTGGACTCATTCTAGTGCGAACACCCACGGAACCGCGGCGGGTTGCATAAGAAGATTTTGACAAGTAGTGAAAAATCTTTCGTTATGTAACCTGGCTGGCGGATGTAGTGTGAAATTGTTTTTGTTTTAGTGGGACGCTGTTGGTGGAACTGAAGTACTATGGAGTAATTTGCCAGTTTTTTTTTTTTGCACAAATTTGGTAAAACAGCTCAGTTGATTGGATAAAACATTGAATATGTAGAGGAACATAACCTAGATGGACACAATAACAAATTAATGTATTTTTATGACTAGGTTACTTGATTTGGGAACTATTGCTAGAAAATCGATTTTATTGATAACAAAGAATATCTGAACATGAATACAACTAGGGCAGACAACAGATTTTAGGCTTTAGTTGAGATTTAAGAATTCAATGTTTAAGATGTGGAAACGACGAAAGTTACTGTTGATGTTGATAGCTTGCAGCACGACGGAAAAGTGAATGCTAACATAAAGTTTGAATTGCTATTGTCATACAACTAAAGCTGATTGTTTCTTATTCCTTTACAGTTACCGGCCAAATCCGTCTGGCTCACACCGACATCCAAGTGCCGGATTTCTCTGACTACCGTCGTGAACAGGTCAAGAGACCCAATGCCAAGAATGACTCAGCTGATGAACGCGCGGCATTCACCTATCTGCTTGTGGGAGGTAACGTATTACCACTCACTCCCCCTTATTCTGCGAGTCACGTGACTGTCTCTCACCGGTGAGGTGACAATAGTCACCTCGTGTGAGGTGACTCTCCATTTGATTTACATGGAGAGTCACCTCACACGAGGTGACAATTGTCACCTCACCGGTGACAGACAGTAACGTGACTCGCAGAATAAGGGGGACTATCTAAAGTACTTGATCTTCTAATTAAACCCTCTATCTCTTCTAGGTGCCGTCGTCACCACCACCTACGTCGCCAAGTCAATGGTGTCCACCTTCATATCTTCGATGAGCGCTTCGGCCGATGTGTTGGCCATGGCCAAGATCGAAATCAAGCTGTCCGACATCCCGGAGGGCAAGTCCGTTACCTTCAAATGGCGTGGCAAGCCGCTGTTCATCCGCCACCGCACGGGCGCTGAAATTGCCGCTGAAGAGTCTGTCAACACTGGAACCCTCCGTGACCCACAGGCCGATGCTGTAAGCTTTGCATGAATGTTTATTCTAACTCGTTTACTCATTCCCACTTTTCTTCTAGGAACGCGTCAAGAAACCACAATGGCTCGTTGTGATTGGTGTCTGCACGCACTTGGGATGTGTGCCAATTGCCAACGCCGGAGACTACGGTGGATACTACTGTCCATGCCACGGTTCCCACTACGACGCTTCTGGCCGTATCCGTAAGGGACCGGCTCCGCTCAATCTGGAGGTGCCCTACTACGAATTCCCAGAGGATAACCTGGTCATCGTTGGTTAAGCATGCAATGCTTTTAGGTGATTTTCCTTTTGTTTGTACTAGCGAGGCAAAACCTATATTAACTTTAATCAGAAGTTGTGCGAACGAAATTTAGTAAAATGTGAAATAGTCTATTCTGACATGGGAATCCGTGAAGAGGGGGAAACGAATAAATCGGAGACATTGACCTACAAGTATTGCTGAGAGCTAGATTTATTCGAAACGGTCAATAACGATGAGGTGCAGATACCAAAAAAAAAGGCTAACATCAACCGAAGGATTATTCTAATAAAGGAGACTCCTATTTAAATCCACACGACGAAGGCTTTCACTTTTTAGATGACAGCCTTTCTTTTGTGAATCTACCTATAATCAGTAATACAGCGCAATCAATTCTTAATCTGATCCTGATCATCATTCCAACAGTTGAGGTCATTTCGTTGCAAGCTTAAACTGTTTATATGGGAAAAGTGGACCGTTTGTTCATCTAGGTAGGTAGTTTATGCGAAAATTTCTGATCTGCAACTTTGTAAATGCGAACTAGGTAGGTCATATCTGAGTAGAAGTGACTCTCTCTCTCTCTCTCTCTGAGTTATTTTCAGTGGCCGTGCATAAAACTAAATCATAATCTTTATTCAAAATTACCTGACCGGGAAAATAAGCTAGTCCAAAGTATTGGGGGTTTTCCACATTAATAATATATTGGTAATCAGATCAGGAACTAGCAGCGCATCTTTCACCTCGATAGGTCCTTTTTTGAAGATCCAACTATTCATCCGCATCCGAATGATAGACTAATTATTGATTACCGCCTGAAAATCTTACATTGTTCACAAGCTTGCAAATGAGGCCTATTCTGCGCCGCGAATGAGGTGAGGGTACTCGCTATCACTAGTGAGGTGACAAAAGTCACCATGAGTGAGATGACTCGCCATTTGATTTGTACGGAGAGTCACCTCACTCGCCTTTACTTTTGTCCCTTCACTAGTGACAGCGAGTCACCTCACATCACTCGCGGCGCAGAATAAAGGGGAAAATTCATTTTTTTTTTGCTTTTTGGCCTGGAACTGCTTAATAAACTGTTCATAAACTACGTAGACTCTTTAGAAGGGGGAAGGGGGCTGGTGACGAATATCTACGGTCCATACAAATTTCAAAAAAAAAACGTATGGACGATTGTCTACGCGGGGGGGTCAAAAACCTCTTAAGACCGTCAAGTCGACGATGACAGGAGCACATACCGTGGTAAGGGTAACAATAGCTGCAATTTCCAAACCTACGACTGGATGCCTTCCTTCAAATAACAACTGGAGTGCGGTAAAAATCGGTAGAACTGTTTCAAACACACCGGTGGTACTTGAGCGGTCGGCGATCATCTCTTTTTGCCAGTGCTGGCGGGGGGGAACACCCCTCATCATCCCTCTCCAAAGAAGGGAGTTTGTTAAAGAGAGATGATAAAAACCGATTTGTACCTTCCTAAAAGTTGTCCTAGCTCGCTGTCTACTCTCTGTATGCAATTTTCACACTGCCATACCCTAAACGGAACTATCAATTCTATACTTTCATCTCCTCCTCATCTATCGTATAAAAAATTACCACTTCAGTCTGTTATTTGAAATTAGCATCTTCAACTACGGTCTACATAGTTTGTGAACAGCCCCTAAGGGTTGATGCATATATTATGTCACGCTCTAGGGGGGGAGCGGGTCTAAGATTTTGTGACAAGCAATGCATTAGGGATAGGAAAAACGTCACGATAGGGGCGGGGGGTAAATTTCTCCTCGATTTAGCGTGACATAATATATGCATCAACCCTAATGGCGTCCAGTATGGTATCAATAAATGTATCATTCACTGTGGTTTTGACGTTGACTGGGGGTTCGGGTTGTCATCCCTCCCTTTCCTTCCACGGAAAAAAGTTTCCATTGGGAATGCACATAATATTATTTCCATTAACAAAACTAGTTATATCTATCTGAATTTCACATAACATTCATGTGATCACATGAGTTCTATATGATAAATCACTTAAATTTCATTTGACACATAAGGTTCATGTGATTTTGTGGTGCAATTCCCAATTATGATATGTGACTTATTCTTTGAGTGCCTCCCAGGAACAGAGGAAAATGAAACAACATACACCCTCCAGTTAGTGTCAAAAACCACAGTGAAGGATACATTTATTCATACCTACAGGACGCAATCCAGCTTTCCATGCTCGGTAATGGCGGCCTGTTTGTATGAATAAATGTATCCTTCACTGTGCTATCTGGAGGATCGGATTTTGACCCCTCCCTTGCCCTCTCCCAGGTACAGAAGAAAATGGACCAAAATACGCCCTCCAGTTATTGTCTAAAAGCACAGTCAAGGATACATTTATTCATACAAACAGGCCGCCATTACCGAGCATGGAAAGCTGGATTGCCGAGTGTGGAAATCTGGATACGCATTTTTAATAGAAACTAAGTGGTCGATTCAACCTCTGGTGGTAAATAAGAAAACGTAAAAAAGAGTGTTGTAAACAAGAGGTGGTTACCCTACACACTTATTTTGTGCAAACTTTTTGCTCAGTGTGCCTCACGTGTTCTGCAGCTATGCCGACAGTGCCGAGAGTGCCAGTCAACTTTGTTTGTTTGTGAAAAATGGGGTGTTTGGCAACCCGGTTAATTTGACAATTCAAATGTTTAGATTTGAAGGAAGACAACAAGCAGTGGAATCCAACTCGAACCAAGACGATGGTCCAGAAGCACCCCAGCTGGACAAGCCAATACTGGACAAACTGCCCTTATAAAAATGTTATGGTTACTTTGCTTAACGACGTGTTCGGGGTATCATCTAAACCATTTGTGGACTAGTTCAATTATTTGGGTTATCGAATCATGCCGTTTGTATGATTCGGTTCTACAAAATTTTGTCAAGCAAGATTCCCTAATAAACAAATGAATAATAATAAATGAACGATAACCCAAATGGTAGAACTATTCAACAAATTGTTTGGATGATACCCTGAACACGTCGTTAAGCAAAATAACCATACAAATTTTATTAGGGTTGTTGGCAATGAAAATGACGATAGCGTGAAGCTGGTCATCGATCTGGTAGACATTTTTTTCTTTCGAGTAAAATACTGAACAACTTCGCAGGATTCACCGTCATTCGGTTAAAATGGCACCAGCTGGCAAATGCTTCAAACTGATGATTTTGAGATCGTCTGCATACGATAGTCGTGGACCTTCGATAACTAAACTCACGTCATTGAAGTAAATTTGTATTTTGTAATTGTTCAGTGTATAGGCTGTGCCAACCGCTAAGTTGGCTTATCTAGGGACTAACCCCCTAGTCTATACACCTACTGTCCTTCCCGGTGCACTCGTCAGCTCGTGCGATACTCTAGACACACATGGGTGGTCGTATCCAGGTCCTCCCCTGGGTAGGCTCGTGTCCGTCCAGGTTCTGGTACATTAACTGATATCTATGCATGGTAATTATGCTTTACAAGTCACCTTTTAATTATAAATGTCGATAATGCTGAAACTATATGAATGTTAGTGATCATTATTAGGGGTGTGCTGCAATGGAGTAGTAATTGAAGGAAATGAGGTTCTCATGTGGCTTATAGGTAATTCTAAAATAGGTAAATCATGCATGCACACACCTTTTACAATTCTTATCCTACTTCCCGAGCAAAGTCCAGCATCTAAATGACAGCAAATTGAAATCAAGTTTTGATATCAACATCAAACTGAAATCATAATTTGATTTCAGTTTACGTAATATACTGTAGGTAATATTGATGTAGGTAATATTGATACATGAGGGAAGAAAGAAATAGAACAAGTTAAGTGTTAGCCGCATGCGTTGCCCGAGCAAAGTCCAGCATCAAAATGACAGCAAATTGAAATCAAGTTTTGATATCAACATCAAACTGAAATCATAATTTGATTTCAGTTTACGCAATTGACAAATTTGATGCCATTTGCTCTTTAAAAATATGTTGCTGCGGGTTTGTTTACATTGCCTTAGTATAACATCAAATTGAATACATGTTCTGTTATCAACAGGAAAAATTGATATCAAATTGAGTTTTCAGTTTGCTCTCACTGATAGCAGAAATAGTCTTCAATGTGATGTCACAGGAAGATTTTTTGCTCTCAATTCTGAAAACGACCAAAACGACAGCAACCTGTGTAATCATTATCAGCGAAATCACAACATCAAATTTAGATTTCCATTTAATCTCAGACTCAGACAAAATTTGATTTCAATTTGCTGTCATTTTGTAGTATCGATAAATTATCTGCTGAAAATTGCCACTTGGCGCTAACAGCACCTAGTGTCTAGTGTAAGTTTTGCAACGCCAGCGCCATCATGTTGTCAAAGAGGGTTTTTAAGTGGGGAAGTCGCCGTTAGTGGCGCTTAAGTCGAATAGGAATCTTTACACAAGTTTTTAGAGAAATTTTGGAGCCTCAACGTCTGTTCTCTGTGGCTATCTTATATCGAGCTCTTTTCAATAATTGCAACATGTGCATAATGCAGAACAAGTTCTAGAGCCAAGCCAAGCCTCCTAAGCGGGCCCTCCGCATCCTATCTCTGTCTTATCTCAAATGCCAATGGTTTGAATGTATCAATATATACATTGGAAATGACGTTCAATCAAATAAACCCATACCCCACTCACTTGGCCAGGCTTCAGAATCGTCCAGTGGGCAGTGCGGTCTACACTCCAAGTTCCTTTTCTTTCAAATTTACCCCAAATTTGATATTTTACCCGTTTGAGTGTTGATTAATCACAATGAAACATTGTGACAGAGCACGGACTTGAGGTTACTAGAGTATTAAATAATCTAGGTCCTATTTAGGATTATATCTGAAAAATCCAAATCTGGCCAACGCCCACCTAAACTCACGTCATTGAAGTAAAGTAAGAAAATCAACGGTCCCAGATGACTTCCTTGAGGTATGCCTGACGTAGCTGCGAAAATGTCGGACTGGCAGTCACCATAGGTTAGCACCAACTGACGATCGGCGAGTGGAATGTTGCTTGCTGCTAGGGTCACGTCTTCGTTGGTTAAGCTCTCGTCAGAGAAGACGCTTGCAAACTTGTTGGAGAACAAGCGGCAAACCTTCCGTGGAGTAGAAGCGACTTCACCGTTCAATATCATGGATGAAGGTAGACCGGACTCTCTGCGCTGCTCCTTAACACTCTGTGGGAAATGCCTTCTTAGGTATAGCTTACGGGGATAGGTACTTCTTATTCAGAAGAAGATACATATAATAATAGTTATCATGAAAATTATGTTAGGGGCCATGTAAAATTTACGTGAGCATGAAGGGGAGCAGAATGTTTCAAATTTTCTATCGTTCTCTTTGGAACCATGCATAAATGACGTATCTGGTCACAACTTCTGCAGACCCCCCTTTCCCTCTTAAATGGTACGTGATTTATGAAGATACACGGCCATTCAATCTCACTCATAGAGAGAGAGAGAGAGCGAAGCTTCTACTCAGATGAAGGAGAAATATCTAAAAAATATAGGTCACTCAGCGCTGAGTAACCTACGCTTTTATAAATGTTGCTTTCATTCAAAATTCCCGCTTGAGATGCTCATTCTTATAAAACGCCGAAAAATCATTCCAGCTTTAAACTCTTAAAAATCTCTCAAACGTCAGTTGATAGCATGCTTATGCATGTTGTGTTAGTTTTCCAACCCCTGATGTACAAACAATAGTAATAACAATCAATAGCGCCGACATATATGAAATTAATTTTTGAGTCTGAAAATTCATCGGTGAATTTTGCTACGTTGAATTTTGGAAGGCAAAACTCATAGGCGCATAAACTCATGTATGAGATTTGAGTTTTTCCGAACACTGCTTAGTGGAGCAGATTTTGTATCCTAGGATTTTACAATGTTTGACATTAATGATTGGATGCCCCCCATTAAGCAGTTTCATGTTATTTAGATGGACGTGATATGAAAATGATACTTCAAGAATTTACTTTCTGACACTTCACTTCAAAATAATATTTTCCCCGGATTTAATGCAAGTTTTGCAATGGTACCTACTGCTAGTTCAATGTTACTATAGGACATATTTTTAAATATCGCATTAAGTTTGGAAATTGTTATGCGATAATTGAATTTTAGACATAAAATCCAACAAACGTCAAGATTAAATTGCTTAAAAAGAAATTATCATTACCCTTCGTTTCCTTTGACAGAACAGTGTCCCATTCGATAATTACTTTAATGCTTTCGAAATCATCGAATGTTCGGTACTGTTAGCTCAAATGAACCATCGGTTAAATAGAACTTGCCAGTCTAAGATAGAGGAACAGAATTTCAGGCTTACTGTGCCGTCTTCTTGGCAGGTTGTTCGCGGCTTTCCTCTTCGGCCTTTCGCTTCTTACCACTATCACCGCCATTCCGGTGATGGTGATGATGTTTACCACTCTTCTGATGGCGTCCCTTGTTGCGGGCGTTGCTGGCCTGTCGTCGTGCCTGCTGGTCCTTCACAACCTTTCGCAAGAACTCCTTCTCTTCATCGCCTTCCAACAGACGAGCGGCAATTTCTTCTTCGTTAATTTTGATCTGACCGTGGGTAGACAAAAATATGTTATTATTTAGGAAACAAGCAAATTGAAAAACAATCTACCTTGTCGTCGGTTAACTTCTCCATAAACTTCTTCCCGGCATCGTTATTAGAGAAACGGACAATTCCATTGCTGTCGGTTTTCTGGTAATCGATGAATGCTACCTCTAGAGATTCATCAAGCTTAAGAATCGTTTCCTTGATCGTTTCCCGGCTAGTTTCCTTCCCGAAGCCATCCAAATGAACACACGCTCCTTTGGGTAAATGAGAAGTGTCCAACTTGTCTTCCTCCTTCTTCTTATCCTTCTTCTTACGTTCGGCCTTTTTCTCTTCAAAATAATCGTCTTGCATCTTACGGACCAACTCCTTGCCTTTGTACTCCAGTTTGTCCTTCTTCAAAAACTCCGCGCACTGCTCCTTGGTGGCAAAGGTAACGAATACGCTACCCTTGAACAAATACTTTTTCGTGGCTTTGTCGTGATATTTTCGCATAACAATGTTGGTAACCTTGTCGTAAGGTTCAAAAAATGCAAGCAACTCGCTCATCTCAGTTCCATCCTGAGGTGCGAATCCTTTAACGTACACTGTACGCGCGTATATTTCCTTTCGCGTCTCTTCGTTTTGTTCTGGAAGGGGTCGCTCCGGATGACGACGTAGCTTCACACGATCCTCACTTATTTCGACCAATCCTTCATCGGATTTCTCAACAGCATCAACAATCACTTTCTTATCATCGCTCAGTGCCTTTAGTCGTTTGAAAGTGAGCAACACGTCAAGCGGTACCCAACCGTCATCCTTTGTGATTTGTTCCTGTAGAAATTTATCACGGGCAAGATTGGCATCTCCGAAATAATACTCCACTTGGCGGATGATCGAGCCTTCTAACTTGGAGGCATTTTCCGGCGTTTCCACTGTCGTGCTTGCAGTTTCTTCTGCTGTTTCCTCCTTCGTTGTTTCCTCAGTGGACACGGCTTTAGCTTCGACTTCAGTCATTTTGACAAATCCTCCTGTAAACAAGATCGAAATTTAATCGATTCTACTTTAACATGATTGAGGTTATGGACAAGGCGTATCGTTGAACCGATAGACGATAGTGAAAAGTAAGTTATTTACTGTAATATTAGGAAATCGTTTTGATATTCACTTATAACACACCAAGCAGACACTATTTCATAATAAAATGAAGAATTATTTTACCTTTTTGCTTGAACTGTAGTCAATTTGTTGAAAAAATGCTTTACCGCACGTGTAAATTTCACCAATGAAAACAACGGAATGAATGAGAATCGACATCAATGTGTTGGAAAACAGGTTTGCCAATGCAAATTTGTTGTCTCTTCCGTTCTCCCGCTATTCTTATGTAGTGACTAGTTTGACGTCACAGTTATCAACATACATTAAGAACCGTATCAGGAGAATGAAAAGATGACAAATTCGCATTGGCGGACCTGTACTCTAAGACATTGATATACGCGTAACATTTGAAAAGGGCCTATTATATTAATATGTATAAGGCATTTTACGAGACAGATCGAGTCAACTGATTTTATTCTGTTTACTAATTTTGACATTTACTGGCGGGCCGAATATCTTCATTCGCAACTACACGGCCATCAAAAGTGACTCACGGAGTGTGTTTAGCTTGCTTACTTTTGGGTAAATCCGTGGCAAGCCCATACACTCGTGAGTTACTTTTGTTGACCGTGTAGAGAATCAAAACAAAAATATCAGACGTAAACAATAACAATGCCACGAGCGGCCCGCCAGGAACTGTCATCAAAACGTCTCGTAAAATGGCTTATAATCTACGAAAATCAATTATTATTTCTTTCATGTGTTTCACTTACCCGCATAGAAAAATTCCATTTCTAGAACAGTTCAAACTTCACTGACACCTTACTAGCTATGTTAACTTTACACAAAATAGTTTTGTTATGGTTTATGGAATGTAATAAACATTAAAGAAACACTACTTTCAACTGTTACAGTTTCTGGTATGTTCCAGCTAAATTTTGTTACGGTTGATCTACTACACTGAACTGTTACAAAACATTACGAATAAAAGTTGTAAACAACTTGTACAACACTTACATGTTTCGATTATGGTTGCTTTATGTTTTTACAATTGGTACAAACAGAAGAAAACGCTTTTGATTGAAACGGTGCTCGTGAGTTTATTGTGTTGTTTTGTTCGTTATTTTATTTTTAAAACCCTTGGTAATATTAGCTTAAAGTATAAAATATTTCTTAAAAGCACATGCATTTTTTACACAAATATTCAGTGCTAACAGCGGTTTACATGTGAAGGAGATTTCGATGCTGGTGGCTCACATCATCCAAAAAGGAAATCGAAGCAGGTTCGTTTTGCCGGGGCCTTTTTATCTTCCAGAAATGGAATGGAGTTTGTTTTGCAGGGCAAATTTATTTTTTTATTCATTTATATTAAGATCAATAAACATGTTACCAACAGCAAGGGAGGTATCCACAAAAAGAAATCTTGTAAATCACATTAAAATTAAATAACAACCAATGACGGCTGTATTCCGGATAAGCTACGACAGTATTTATTATAACGTCAATAAGTATGGTAATTTATACCATTTCATAGTATATCATGAAGTTAACAACAATGGTTGGTTTAAACCTTACTACCTTATTCGAAAGTTAATGGAAATAGTTTCACATATCCAACAAGAACCTTTTCTGATGTGGTAAGGTTATAGTTGATTTGCAAAAAATGTATGGGAAAAAGCGAGATTTCGTATGGTGAACGTTCTTAACCACCCATTGTTCGTATGGTTGGGTCTTCGAAAACCTTAATCAATATGGTCAAAACATTATCTAGGTATGGTTTGATTAAAGTTGACTAAACCTTTCTCATTATGGTTTTCGGAGGAAGATAAACCATTTTCAATGTGGTAATCGTATGGTTGTGATTTATGCGGGTATACCACAAACGAAGTGACAGACGACTAACTGGCCAAGAAATCCATTTAAATAATGTGGTTCACTGTAATAGAATTTTCTTGGAAGCTTGTGCCATCATTCACCAGATGGGTTAGTTTTTTTGTTTTGATTTGAACATAGTTGATTTTGTGTACAATGATTCTTTGACAGTGTGCAAAGAGTGTATCATTTTGTAATTTTTTTATGCATTTCAGTTTTGAGAAGAGTGAAAGAGATAGAACCAAAACATTCTAATACATTTGGTGAAAATGCTAGTACAATCCAGTAGTAGCAACAATCAATACGAAACTAACGATTTTAAATTGGCTCACTACTTGACTAGCCTATTGGTCCCAAGCAAATCGATTAACGTATCCCATTCTACTATAAATTCCAGTACTACACTATGTTTGTTTTGATTCGCTATGAAAGTTTGACAGATAAAATGAGGGGTGATTTGATTTTCCTATGTTTCGAGGGGTGAATCGATTAGCTTGGGACCGAAGATAGTACCAGAGCTGAGCCAAAAAGTTGAGCACGTTTCTTCTGGACCTACTAGTCTTAGAGTTACCTCTATGGTAGTAGCAACAATCAATACGAAACTAACGATTTTAAATTGTCTCACCACTTTAGTAGCCTATTGGTCCCAAGCAAACGATTAACGTACCCTATTCTAGTTGAAATTCTATTACTACACTATGTTTGTTTTGATTCGCTATGAAAGTTTGACAGATAACATCAGGGGTGTGTGGATTCATGCAGAACATGCAGGGGTGAGTGAAATAGCTTGGGACTGCTTGGGACCGTTGTTCTGGTACTGAGTGAGCCAAAAATAATAATGATTTTCTTCGGGACCCAGTGGTCTTAGAGTTACCTCTATGGTAGTAGTGTTGCCATGTAGTACAATCCAGTAGTAGTGGTGCTGCCATGTGGTACACTGAAAAATTGAAATTGCAAGTTAGTCACCAAAGTTTTCGAGCCGCTCCGTCTGTCACTTCGTTTGTGCTTATACCAACAATCAATACGAAACTAACAATTTTAAATTGGCTCACTACTTGACTAGCCTAGTGACGTTTAACGCACGCACACTAGCGGGAGCAACGCCGTGTGAAGTTGTTTATTATTTTCCTCTGGGCTAACAAAAAAAAAGTGTGAAAGTTGATCTGTCAAAATGAGTTTGACATCGATTTGTTATGTATTTTCCTCGGATATTCACTAACACGCTCTCACATATCGCACAAGTACAACCGAACGTGAAAATCTTTATTGGTCCCAAGCAAACGATTAACGTACACCATTCTATTTGAAATTCTACTGCTACACAATGCAGGGGAAACATGTCAGAAGGGCATAGCTCGAAACGTAAACAATGACTTTGAACGTCGATTTCTCTTGAATGACCACACACCCACGGAATCTGATTACACTAGCTCATAGAACAAACATTTCTCTGTCAGATGATTTACTTTGTTTGATTCGGTATGTAGTCAGTCGTAAGTCATTGTTTACGTTTCGAGTTAGACCCTTCTGACATGATTCCCCTGAATGTTTGTTTTGGTTCGCTATGGAAGTTTGACAGATAAAATGAGGGGTTAGTGGATTTTACTATGTTTCGAGGGGTGAATCGATTAGCTTGGGACAGAAGATAGTACCAGAGGTGAGCCAAAAAGTTGAGCACGTTATTTCGGGACCGTCTATAGTCTTAGAGTTACCTCTATGGTACTACGCCAACGTTTTTGACGCAGCATGGTAACATCAACAACAGTTGTATTCATTTCAAATACAATATTCGCTCTACCGAAATTTAGTGGTAATTTGTTTTCATGTTTAACCAACGAAATAGTAGTGGTTACTAGAAATACTAGAAGGAGAAATGAGCGGAGAGAATTTTTTGAGCCAAATGAACTGTCAAAATCTGAGCCAAACGAACTTTCCTATTAGATTTTTTCCGAGGATTTCTTAAGGCCGGCGCACAATAGATACGTTTTCGGGTTTTTTGACAGTTAGCCCATGCATTATCTGTCAAAAAACCCGAAAACGTATCTATTGTGCGCCGGCCTTTATTCTTACTAGATTAAATGTGAGAGTATTGCAATGGAACAGAAATTCAATCACCTTTATGTTTCGTGTGCTTCTCAAACTCAACTAGTTTTTGGAACCGAAAGCAATATTCTAGCTTTATTGAGTAATTGATCTTAGTTGGCTCATTAATGGCACCAAAAAATGAGCAAAATATTGCGATGCAATCAATTATTAATTTACACGTAAATCGAATCAAAAGTAAAAGCACAAACGAAGTGACAGACGACTAACTGGCGAAGAAATCCATTAAAATAATGTGGTTCACTGTAATAGAATTTTCTTGGAAGCTTGTGCCATCATCCACCAGATGGGTTAGTTTTTTTGTTTTGATTTGAACAAAGTTGATTTTGTGTATATTGATTCTTTGACAGTGTGCAAAGAGTGTGTCATTTTGTCATTTTTTTATGCATTTCAGTTTTGAGTAGAGTGAAAGAGATAGAAACAAAACATTCTAATACATTTGGTGAAAATGCTAGTACAATCCAGTAGTAGTGTTGCCATGTGGTACAATCCAGTAGTAGTGGTGTTGCCATGTGATACACTGAAAAATTGAAATAGCAGGTTAGTCACCAAAGTTTTCGAGCCGCTCCGTCTGTCACTTCGTTTGTGGTAAAAGTCATGTGAAATGCTAAGTTTTAGCAACCCTAATAAACAAATACTATAAACGGACTGTATCCCGGATGGGTAAACTATCCCACAAATGGTTTGGATTATACGAGGGATGATACCCCTAACACGTCGTTAAGCTCTCTTTTATGGTTATTTTTTATTAGAGAAGGGTTGCAAGATAATTTAGATACAAATCCCTGCTGCCGAATTGTATTTTGTTTTCTCCGCCTATCTCTCCCTCTGAGTATTTCTAGTGGTTACCATGCACGCTAACTTGAAAGTACTCATCAATGAGTAAAAAAAGACCCATTTTGAAGAAAAGTGGCTTAACTCATTAATGATTAAACAATTTTACCCATTAATGAGTATCTGTTACCCATTAGTGATTAACAATTACTCATTAATGGGTAACAGATACTCATTAATGGGTAAAAAATTTACTCATTTAATGAGTTAAGCCACTTTTCTTCAAAATGGGTCTTTTTCAACCATTAATGGGTATTTTCAAGTTAGCGTGTGGGACTGTTGGATTGACACTGATACCTCGATTTTGTTTACCTTTGTTACATTGGACGTAATGAAAATTTGCTCTTGAAATGATCATGAAATTAGAAGTAATAATAAATGAGAATTAAAGTTTGAAAAATGATGGCCCTTCTATATACCGCTAGGTGCGCTGATGTTCACAAAAATAATATGGAGCCACTTTTGGATCCGAAATTCCATTCCTGTTCTGTGCTAACGGAGTCGAGGATTGCATGCAATTTCGACAAAATAAAAGAAGGTATTCCATTTGATGTCACAACATTTTTTGGCGCGTAACGTTCCAATCCAAGTTTCGTTGTTTTGTTTTCAGAAGAAGCTGATCGCTTATTTAGCTGTGAATTTATTTAATTGTTATTGTAATTGTAGCGTTCCGGGTTCAGAAACATTCAATAGAATATTCAAGTAAGAAACTCATCATTTGATCCCCTAACCAGCAGCATAACCATCTCAAGATCTGCCACAGAATGTCTCACTTGGACGCCCTGTTTGGAGACACGTACGAATTCGGCAACGAAAACGACGGTGAGATTCTTTCCGATGGTGAAGCTCAAAATGCAGACGACGATCTGGATAATCCGAATTCCAACGGTGACGACGGGGAATCCAAACCGATTAAAGTCGAGCCAAAGAAGAAAACCATTCGAAATCCCCGATTGGCACTGAACGCAGCGCTGCTTTGTGGTCCCAGGGGAATCATGGATATGGAAAACTACTACAAAGAAATTAAATTCAAAGGTAAAGGACATGAGAAGGACGATCTGGATGCTGTCATGAAAAGAATGCAACACTGGGCGCATCGAATGTTTCCCAAGTATGGACTGGATGATAGCTTGGCCGCTATCGAAAACTTGGGTCGGAAGAAACAGACGCAATCGTACATGAACAAGTATCGGATGGGGCTGCTTGAGCCGGAAGTACCAGCAATAGATGACGATAAGGAGGACGAAGAATTGGCGTACGAGTCGAATGCTCTAAATCAACCGCTCGATCCACTGGACAGCATGTTGGAGGAGCAAATAGCCATTTCTCGGGCCGGAGCGAGTTTAAACACTTCCGGTGTCGCCAATCTGTCCGTGTCGGAGCGAAATTTCGACTCTTTGAAGGATTATGATTGCATTAGTGCACCTTCCTTTCCAACAACACCTGTCCATACTCCTAGTAGATCTTCTCCTGGACTATCGGAAGAAATACGAGCCAAAATAGCGGCCAATCGGCTGAAAGCTCTTGAACTTCGTAAAGCAAAAATGGCAGCAGTCGCTACTGCCTCTAGCACTGCCAACTTAACGACAGAAGTAATCTCTGAGGTCACAGAAAACCCTGAAAATGGAATGGAATAGCCTGTAATTATATTGATAAGCGTTAAGTGTAGGTATTAGTAATTTTACTATTTTCTTAATAAAATTAACCAGTTCCATAATCCAGTTCTATTCGATTCCTGAGACTATATTTTATCAAGTTCCTTCAAGGCGAACAGGAGTTATTGAATGTTGATTCATTTTTACGTTTCTATCCCCAGGGTTGCCATTACTTATATACAGTGATGTTCGATATAAAAGCACCGCATACCGATTTTTTTTTTTTTTTTTTTTTTTTTTTTTTTTTTTTTTTTTTTTTTTTTGGTATCAAGCTGGAGCTGCGTGACAGCTTAATTTTCAAGACTTGACCCATTTGAATAAATTTTGCTTCTATCTTTGACAATACAGCAGAAGGACTAGCCTATGTTGGCCGCTTGAACACTGGATTCCGTATGTATTGTTTCAAGATAGTTATAGAAAAAATGCTGTGACGTGTGCGCGTAGATACATCCGCGTAGTAAACCGATTGAATAAGTAAATCCGTTTCGAACGAAATATCTAAATTATGTAAGTTACGAAAACCGCGCGAATTCCGAAAGCCGTGCGAGACAACCGAAGCGAGAAAAAAAGGCTTATTATCATTTAAAGAGTGCCACCAAAATAAATGTGATAGCCTATGTTGGCAAGTTGATTAATTTTGGTTTCCTCCTTTGATATTCTACTTATTTACTACTGAGCTTTGTATCAAATTAGTTAATTTAAAGAACGTATCAATCATTTCAAGATTTCGCGACCGCACCGAACAAATTCTATAAGCTCAAAAGCGTTTGACAAGCTCTACCGAATTGCGTATCACTTCTGCGTAAGCTCCGTAGACGAAGGCGCGTTGAATCCGACAGTCGGCAAAGGTTTAACCTGTACCAACACCGCTTAAGGAACGACCTCGAGTCAGTGAAACCGTTTATAGTTAAACATCTAAATTACGTAAGATACGAAAATCGCGCAAATTGTGAACGCCACGCGAAACAACCGTAGAGAAAAAAAACAACTTATTATCACTTAAAGAGTGCCACCAAAATAAATGTGATAGCCTATGTTGGCAAGTTGATAAATTTTGGTTTCCTCCCTAAATATTCTACTTATTTTACTGTTGAGCTTTGTTTCAATTTAGTTATTTTACCGCACGTATCAATCATTTCAAGATTTCGCGACCGTACCGAACAAATTCTATACTACAGAAGCTCAAAAAAAAAAAAAAGACTTTTGGTGAGCTCTACCGCATTGCAAATCACTTCTGCGTAAGCTCCGTAGACGTAGGCGCGTTGATTCCGAAAGCCGCGAAAAGTTAAACATGCATCAATACCACATAAGGAAAGATCGATTTTACGTATGGTTTAGTTCATAGATTAACATTGATTGCTGTTTACAAATGTAAGTACTTGAACACTAAGAAATAAGTTAACTCAAATGCTTTAATCGCATATATAAGAGATTTCGCGTATTGAGAGAATTATATAGTAATCGAGTACAACAAACTCAGGGGAATACAATACCTCCAAAAGTTTAAAAGCTAATAACTGTCACATAACTCTACTTTTACTTTTTTCCTAAACTATTCCTTTCCTTGTTAATCTGCTAAATGCTATTGGTCTGCCTGCGTTTTCTTTTTTTTTTAAATTCAATACTAAATAAGAAGATTTATTCTACAACTATAAAGGTTAGTTGCCTCCCTAAGCGGACCACCCGCATCCTAATTCTTTTGTTAATCTACTTAATGTCATTAAACTTTCTGAAGTTTATTATTTAAATTCATTTGATGGTTATGATATCTCATTAGTCTAAATTAATAAATTATTAAAAGCTCTAAGTCACCTAATCAATCATAACCCATGCTTTATTAAGTACCTGCACTTGTGCTTGTAATCTAAAATTAAACGTGTTTCAAGTACTTTTGATTTTGACCTATACCTATTTATTATATCTTAGTTCGACCCAGGTGACACCCTCAAGTGACTAAAATGCTTCATTTTGAAGTTAGTTTCCTAGCTGATTTTAAATTATATAGGGTATATGCTCCAACTACGCTCACACGTTTCCACTATGTCGTCCCACAAAATTACGTATGGATATATCACAATAGAAGCACGCAACAGTGGAAATCCCGAGCCATAGTTCAAACATTTATCCCAAATCAAAATGAAGCACATATAAGATTAGTTACAATACCATGTACAAAAATGATGTTTAAAATTGTTCCCTGATGGATTGACCTGGTTGCAGCAGTTTGGATGTAATATTCAACGACTTTTTGTTTCTGTGTACCTACGTAAATTTCAAAAAGATCAGATAAGAATAAATGAATATTAAAGACGATTAACTCACCAGATGGCGAAAGGGTTAAAATGGTAATGACGTTTTGATATCTGTCAAATTGCATGACATTTTTTTAGTGCATCATCATTTTTGCACAAGCCGGCGCCGGTGGTGTAGTGGTAGGCGTGACTGCTTTCTAACACCCCGATGGGTCTGGGTTCAATCCCAGCCGAGATCGGTGGGATTTTTCTGAGGCATAAAATTCTTCGGAAGGGAAGTAAAGCCGTTGGTCCCGGCCCATGTGTGTTGAATGGGTGCGACATCCTACGCAGGTGTGGAAGCTGCCTTCCTGCACATTTGATTGCCGTCAATGGATGGCAATCGATATTCGTCGGTGATTGGCACTAGATTGCGGAACAGAGACCGACGTTAAATAAAGAAAAAAGAAATAAAAAAAATCATTTTTGCACAGACAAACAGACATAACACATTGAATATTTCTCACTGTAAAACATCTTCGCTAAAACATATCCATCATCTGTTGAGTACACTGTGGTGAGTAGTAAGCTGAACAGATGGCGGTAGTGTGAAAACGTCAAACGCAAGGGAATTGACTGTGCGCGCCTGTGCACCACTGTGATTTTTGCGGATCTTAAAACTAGGTGTCGTATGATCAGTTTTGTCTTTGCTTTGATTTGCCAATTGGTACACCACAGACAAACAGACATAACTCTGTTCATTGAACAAGCATTTAACGGTAAATGTAAAAGTATCTTAGTTGGTAGTACCACAGCGCGCATAGGCAATTCCCTTGCGTTTGACGTTTGCACACTACCGCCATCTATTCAGCGTACTGCCCACCACAGTGTACTCAACAGATGGCGATAATGTTTTAGCGACCATGTTTTACAGTGAGAAATATTCAATTTGTTATGTCTGGTGATCCTGAATAGAGCCGTGTTAATTTTCATTGCAATGTCATTGAAAGATAATGAAAATGCGTTTTTGACGTAGGACTACGTCTGTCATTTCTATATGGGGCTACACTTTATGAAAACCGAAAATGGAACATGTACGAAATTATGAAAAAGATTTCGAACCCCAAGCAACCTAAAGTTCGGATTTTACTTGAGGAACGAACCTAAAAGTTCACATCTGGTTCAAACGGAACTTTCTTGCTTATTAACAAGGCACTACACGTACAAACAGAACTTAATGCTCTTTAAAGTACCGCCAATATTTATTGGAATCTTGAAAGTTCAACAGAAGTTTCTTGTTCCCATTCAGTTGAACTGTGATGTTCACAAAAAGTTAATAAAGAACTTGTTTCGAACCTCTAACACAAAGTCCAATCTTAGTACTAACCGTACTTTAAAGCAGCGCGATAGTTCACAATTAAGCTATGTTGAACTTCTTTCAGACTTTAAAGTACACGTAAAGTTCTAGATAAGACTTTGCAACAACTTAAGAAAAATGTAAACAAAGTTCGAAGGAAGTTCGACTTGAACCTTGACTTGAACTTGTAAACAACTTTAGAAATGTCAATTTAAGAAATGTTGTTTACGTTTGAAGAGTAAAACGGTGTTCTGCTCCAATCTTGAATATAGGTACAAAAGCGTAAAATGGATTTTTCGAAAACGATAAAAAAGAATGGCTTATTTTATTATCATCGCAATAAACTGTTGGCGAAATGGGAAGCGGAAAACAAAGCTGCCGATCAAACAGGTAATATATTATCTTGTAAGTTTTTGTTAATAGCAAATACCTAGGCAAATACTCTTATTTATTTTACAGGAAAACAACAGCCTACCACATCTAAGCATGCTTCGATACAAAAAGAAATTGAAACAGATTTTCAAAGAAATACTGTAACATCCGAAGAAGTTAAACCTGAAGACGACGACAGTGAAATTGAGGATTTTTTTGAGATTGACGACGACTCATTCGATGATTCAGGTCCATGATTCGAAAAAGAGCAATATAGTGATGCATTGGATCAAATGTATTTAAGTGAATGCATTAGATATTGGGCTCTCAAAACTAATCAGTCACATGAATCCATAAATCTGATTATGGAAATAATCAGAAGGAAAACTAACGGGAAAAGGTTACCCCGCTCCGCAAGAACCTTATTGAAAACATCCCGGCAAGCAACTTCCGAAATTGTTGAAATTGCTGGTGGACAATATTGGTACCAAGGTATCAAGCAATGCCTGAGTGATTTTTTCCGGTAAGATAAAATTGTGCGCTTTTCTTGTTTAACACAAAGAAAAGGCATATAATTGTTTATCTCTGCACTCTCTTCTTAATATTCTCCTAAATAAAGCAAAAGAAGAAGTACTTTATACACCTGTTTTATTCTTCATCTACAGGTTTACAGAACAGTCACTGAACATCTTGATAAACATAAACATTGATGGAATTCCACTCTTCAAAAGCAGCAAGATACAATTTTGGCCTATATTGTTCAATATTTCGGAAATGCCTGAAATTGCACCGATGACGATTGCTATATTTTATGGAAAAACCAAGCCGACTAGTCTTGATGGTTTCTTGAAGCAATTGGTCGATGAGTTGATCGATGTGCTTAATCGTGGAATATTAATCAACAACTACAAAATTAATGTTAAATTAAGATGTTTTATTTGTGACTCACCCGCACGTGCGTTTCTAAAAGGTTAGCTTAGTTTGGTGTTGATTTATTAAAATTAATGATCAAACTTTTTTTTTAGGTGTTGCTAGTTTTAACTCGAAGAATGGTTGTCTGAAATGCGTGGGTGAAGGCGAGTACTCACATGAATCTCGAACGGTTGTCTTCACGTCGATCAGTAGTGCAAAACGAACAGATCAAAAGTTTAGGCAAAATGCATACAATCATCATCAAAAGGCTACTACACCTTTGATAAAAGTACCTAGCTTAAATCTGATTGAAGACATTATCGTAGGAGATCGATTGCACTTGATTGATCTAGGGGTCATGAAACGGTTGCTTCTTGGATGGAGAGATGGAACTTTGGGTTATGAAACGAAATTATCATCGCAACAAACTGAACAAATATCGCAGATGTTAGGTGGTATACAGTTGCTCTTCGAAATTCACCGTAAGTTACGCGGGATGGACTGTTTGTCCTTTTGGAAGGGGTCCGAGTTCAGCAGCTTCTTACATTATGCCAGTATAGTAGTACTTAAAGAGTTTCTTCCAACCGACAATTATCACCACTTCCTGCTTTTGTTCTGCTCGATTACAATGTTGTCCTCAAATTACTATAAAGCAAACTGGCACGTTGCTAGGAAAATGTTGGAAACATTTGTCACTAAGTACATGGAACTTTATGGAGAGCAATTTTTGACTAGCAATGTGCATAATCTCCAGCATATTGTGGATGAAGTTGAGCGATTTGGACCGTTATCTTCGTTTTCTGCATATCCGTTTGAAAATGCTCTGCAGCGAATGAAACACCTTCTTCGAAGTGGATGGAAGAGCCTTGAACAAGCCGTCAACAGGTTGTCCGAAATTAATTCTAAGGACTATTATACCACCCGGAAATCACGTGAAACACAACAGCGAAATTATCCTTGTATTAGAACCTGTGGAAACAAAAAAGTTATTGATATAAATGAGGACTGTTTCTTGAACAATTCCCACAAGAACGCTTGGTTTCTTACCCACACAAACCAAATAGTGTGCTTCGATCATGTTTTGGAAACACCTCAGCTGCAAATCAACGGAAAAGTCTTAGTATCAAAGAAAGATTTTTTCACCTATCCATTTCCTTCATCTGTTTTGAACATATATCTTGGTAATGAAAAAAGTTTATCTTGTGTCGATTCGAAGTTTAGCTGCAGTGATATTAAAAGTAAACTGGTTGCAGTTGAGTACAATGGTAGCCATGTATTTATTCCTTTGATACATACATTAATTAAATCAAATAACTTGTAAAATGCAAATTATGAGCTGGGAATTAAAAATTAAAAAAAAAAAACAATTAAAATCCTTTTCACCATCGAATCATTCAAAATGTCGAATCGGATGGAGTATCAGCATGGTACTCTACGCGTCCGATGAATCAACGTCCGAATCAGATTCACTGCGAATGTGCGAATTGCTAGTGTTGCGAATATGCGAATGACTACGTTCATCATCCTGTCCGTTCAATACAATTGATGGAATAAAGATCGACCCAGCATCACTTTCAAATTCAACTTCTTGTTCATCAGTCTCTCGTTGTTGTTTTCTTCTTCTTACATGTCTGGTTCCTCGACGCATGCCAGTAGCGATCAAGCGTTTAAGAGAGTTTTTGAGTTTTCTCATGAAAAAACTTGCCAGCTTCTGATGGGTGACTACTTCTGCTTCATCGGTTCCAATCTGTTGAAATAGTTGCAGAATATTGCGGTTCGGCATTATAGCTGTTCCTTGTAGTTTTTTATGCACAGATATTATTTAGGTTGTATTTGTATGAATGTAGATCCCCATCCCGAAATCGACATTCAAGCATAGAGGTAACTCTAAGACTAGAAGGTCCCGAAATAACGTGCTCAACTTTTTGGCTCAGCTCTGGTACTCTCTTCGGTCCCAAGCTAATCGATTCACCCCTCGAAACATAGGAAAAACCTAAGAGAAGAGGTGACAACCCGGAAAAAAATAACCATACAATTACCATAAAATAAAATACAATTACATCCAAATCTATGCCCAACAATCGATCTTATTGTGCGTATATTGTACAAGAAATTTTAACATATTGTTATTAAAATAAATGTACAATACATTCCATATAGTAAGAGTTTTCAACAATAGAACAGCAATACAATTAATGGTAATTGGCTCAAGTTTGTTCGGGAAATAGTGATTTTTCGTATGGTTAAGATACATAACAACCCCCTTGTTCTATTGTATATTTTCACATTTACTATAGATTCTATTGTGGAAACAATACATTCTATTGTTATTTTATCGTTGTGGAGAATGCGATTTATTGTAAATACAATAAATTCTATTGTATGGTTACAATACATTTCATTGTATCTCCATGGTTCTTTTTTTTACGGGAATACGGGGGCGAAAAAGAACCACTTTTCTATCAAACGTGAACCAGCTCCTGATTGGCCGATTTCATGTGTGTAAGATAGAGATAGAGATAGATAAAGATAGAGATAGAAATAAAAGAGGAAGAAGCCAATTGTCACCTCTTCCTCTTAGGGAAAAACCAATAATCCCTCATTTTATATGTCAAACTTTCACAGCTAATCAAAGCAAGCATTGCGTAGTACTAGAATTTCGACTACAATAGAGTACGTTAATCGTTTGCTTGGGACAAATAGGCTAGTCAAGAAGTGAGCCAATTTAAAATCGTTAGTTTCGTATTGATTGTTGGTTCAAGTCAGTCTGCTGGATATACTGGATTATGTTGGGGACTCGGTGCTAGCGGATTTAGAGACCTAGCATATTGTGTCCTTGGCTATACTAAAGAGACTGGAATATACAAAGAGACGACATCTGATCCCTGTGAAAATAAATCATCTAGCAACCATGTTACGAGATACGCGCAACACTGTCATTATACAAACTTCGCTTGACTTTTGTTTTGGTCGCGGTTGCTCCGTTTGTTATTATTGCAAAAATATCTTGTTTAAAAAATCAACAAATATTAAAGATGAAGTGCATGGCACCGTATTGCAGCAATAGAACAACGCCGGGATTCAAAAACATAGCCTTCTTCCGGTTCCCGGCCGACCCTAAACTTAGAGCAAAATGGCTGATATTCTGTGGCCATTCGGTTGATTTCTGCCTCACGGATAGCAGTCGCCTGTGTAGCGTAAGTTGATAAATACATTAAAAGCTAAATTTAACAGATTGTGATTGTCTGATTGCGGTAAATTGCAGTTCCATTTCGGTCAAGAGGATATTTATTTTGCCTCAGAAATAAAGACGCATGAAACATTCGGCGGTGAAGATATCACTATGCTAACAACTTCTGTGGAGAGGTCAGATGCTTCTATCGAATCTTTGGAATTTCGTGCTGGTCCCGCCATACCTCTCGACGAAGAACATCATTCCAATTCCATCGAGCATGAACGGATTTGCGCAAGAACTAAAAAAATGTATGAAGCGTAAGTATATATAATCGTCTATTTCCTGTTTGTGAATGGTAGCCATAATTATTTATTTTAGGCAAATAAGCGAGCTTGAACTCAAATGCAGATCTTTGAAGCATATTGTAAAATCCCAAGAGAAGCAAAACAACCAACATGAGCTAGCATTAAAGGCTTTAAACAAGACATTCAATACCGACCAGGTTGAAGTATTATTGTACGATAAGCAGCGACCTAAGAAATGGAGCAATGCAACAATTACCGAAAGCCTGAAAACAAAATTCGCGTGTGGAAAAAAAGGATGTGAGAATGAGCGTCAAAAGTATCCTATTCCATCGGAGCGAACATTGCAAAGAAGGATGGAAGATATACACCCATATTCTTGTTTTCGTTCGAACCGTATTTTCCATACAAAAAACTTTTTTTTTTGTATGGAAAATACGGTTCGAACGAAAACAAGAATACGGGTGATAGGCTTCGAAAGTGGGATATTGTACGGTGTGGTAGAGCTTCTGAGGTTGAAAGTCAACACGATGAAAGATGCTGACTTGGACTGTGGCATCGTGTTCGACGAAATGTCTATCGAGGATGCCCGATCATATTGTATTTCATCTGGAAAGTTCTATGGGAACGTGACAACAGAAGATCAAAGCGTTTTGGCCAGCCATGCTCTAGTATTTATGCTAGTAGGAATCAGGAGTAGGTGGAAACAGGTAGTAGCATTCCATTTTACAGGCAACAGTGTGTCGGAAAAAATACTCAAGAACATTCTATGGGACATAATCTTCAAAGTGGAAGCCATAGGATGCAAAGTACACTTTATAACATCCGATTGTGCTCCAGGCAATAAAAAATTATGGAACGACATTGGCTTGAAGTTCCACAAGGCTGATGTATTGAGCAGTACCCCAATTACGCATCCTGTTGATCATAAGCGAACGTTGGAAGTCATGCCGGACGTAGTACATGTGTTCAAATCAGCAGTGCAAGGTTGGGTCAACAATGAAGTTCTTTATTTACCACCGGAAGTAGTGACAGCAAACAATTTGTGCACATCGGAGGTAAACATACACCACATTGCGGAACTTGTAAATTTTGAGAAACATAATCTCCTGAAAGTGGCATCGAAGTTGAAACCAGACGATGTGGACTTCAAAAAGAAGAGTAAATACGACGCGATGAAGGTGATCAACTCACAGAAATTTGTGAACACCAATGTTTCTGCAGCACTTCGTTTTTACAGCCAATTGGCAAACCGCCCTGAAGTTATTGCCACTGCATATTTCATAGAATGTCTTTCTAAATGGTTCAATTTGTCGTCGAATAGAAAATTTTGCATGGTTCTGGGTAAAAGCAAGTATCGTAATTCACTATCAGTATATGTTTTATGTTGTAATGTACATATTCATATTTTACAGGTAAACCAGAAGTTTACAAAGAAACACTAAAGTTCCTTTGTTTCTTCAAGAGCATGATACATTCAGTAGGGGTAGGCTATCAAGGAAAGTGGAAACCGTGGCAATCATCCATCATTCTAGCCACAAATTCTATTTTACGACTACAGGACTATTTTTTGAATAGGAGAAATTATTCATTTTTATTAACTGCTCGTTTTACCCAGGACTGTATTGAAAATCTGTTTTCACAAATTCGTGTTAGGCAAAAGAGGCCAACGGCATTACAGTTCAGGAACCTATTAAAATCAATCTGTATATCGCAATATTTAACTGATGTACCTGGGTCATCATACGATCCTGACGATAGGGAATGGCTTATTGACTTCCCGAGCAATGTTCATCATCTAGCGCAGAAAAAGGAATCTGAAAAGGAAAATATGTGCCTGCCTGTTGCTGTACCATCTGATCTACCTATTGCACCACCAGTATTACATACACTGAATGAGTCAGAACGGAATGTGCTGTACCATATTTCAGGATTAATCATACGTAAGGTAGCTAAGAAGGGGTCGGTTTGTACTATTTGCGTGAGCAAATGTATTTCAACTCAGCCATACTTAGCCAATTTCAGTAAATTCACAATACTGAAGGACTTTACGGGACACGCCTTAATTTATGCTAATGAAGAAACGTTTTTATTTTTCGTTAATTTGGAAACAATTATAAGGAGACATGTAAACACATCAGATGCTGACGAAATTAATTAATTTGAAAAGCTTGTAGCTATAATGGACTTAGTTCAGACGCATCATTTCATAGACTGTCACAACATTAAGGGTAAATTGATTAGAAAATTTGCTCTATTCAGGTTAAAAACGTTGGAACCCAATAAGAATCGCAAGAATAAATTTGACAGCAAATCAATGGCTCTGTAATAACATTTGAATGACCATGTCATGTAAAAATACATGCAAAATATATATATATATATATATATTTCTACCAGCAATGTATTACAATTTATTTTCTTCTTCACGAAACTTTACAATTTTCAGACTTCCACTCTCTTTCCTAGCAAATCATAAAAAAATACATTTCCTCTGCACTTCCACCAATTTATTTCAACCTCATCTTTGAACTACTGTGTGACCTCCGGTTTTATACTAAACGCAAATAATGAAAGCGATTCCAAAGTGCCGAAGAATGTAAATACCTAGTGGTTTTTTGTTTTTCTTCTGCTCCATTCCGATTTTCGTTTGTTTCAACTGTTCCATTCGTTTTGCTTTGATAGTTTAAAATAGGTAACCAATATAGTTCAAGCGATTTCATCTTTTGTTCTGTTTATTTTTAGAGATTTTACCTGTTAATACCCGGGAACTCGAATAAAACAGATAACAATACTTCCCCAACAATTAACATACATTTTTTAGTTTGGCAGGTCTCGTGCTCGATTGGAATGACACTGACAGATAAAGTGGAATTCCAATCGGAACATGTCGTCTCTTTGTATATTCCAGTCTCTTTAGGCTATACCAATAGATCAGCAGCAAAACAAGAATTGAGGGGAATGGGTTTGGGCTGCAAAGTTTCCATCCTGGGGAGGGGCCACATTAAATTAATCTCAAATTACCCCACGACAACAAACTTTGCGACTTATATAGAGACTTATATTCACCAAAGTCTGCTTCAACAAAATGATGGGAGCCTATCCGCTCTGTCCCTGATCCGTAAGCAACCTTTCTCCACTGCACGAATTTGTTGCATCCCTGGATAATGCAACGATCCTGCAACAAACATAAGAATGTTAAGTGTTGGAGCTAAAAGAGCCTAAAAAATGAACCTATTTTCCTGATTGCAAGCAGTGACATCATTGAAGTCATTTGTCATTTTGAAGAAGGCCACTTTTCCTACAACTTTACAAAGCTTTATGATCACCAACAACGTAAAACGCAAGACAAATTTTCAATTTAAAATGTGAAAACTCTGATCTCAGTCACGTTTGACAGATGTTTACATTTTTATCGCCACTACGACAACAGCGGGTGGCCAGTGGTTGGTTGGATTTCACTATTGAAGAGTCAATCGTCACTGATTCTTCAATTGTTATCCTCACTTTCGGACCATAAATACTCGTGCAAATAGAATGGACTATGAGACAGTGAGCATGCATAAGGGCCTATACGCGATGATCGATTCTCTTCGTCGATTTTCTCTTTTGTAAATAACTCGCTAGAATTAACGTTTCTCGGTGCGTTTGCTGTTGCTTTTGATAGCCAATACAACCTGTTACTACTCTGCATTGAACAAATTCTAGAAAATTGTTTCGCTTAGCTGTAGCAATGCAAAGAGAAAATCGATGAAGAGAATCGATCATCGCGTATTCGCCCTTATTCATGCTCACTGTCGATTAGGACATCGAAATATAGCGGTTATTAATTAAAATTTTTAAACCTTTGATATCGATAAGCTTGAAAACATTCTGGCAACGCTGAGTCAGAGGGCATTGGGAATACCTTCTTTGCGTTTATCAGTGCGTAAATATAACGTGACAGTTATAAATACATAAACAAAAAATATTGTTTACATGTTTTTCATGAAAGTTCAGAAACAACGTATACGTACTGCGAAAAGATCGTGAACCAAACAATCATCTATTTTTAGTGATATTTGCGTCAGTTTCGCTTGTACCTAAAAATATCCTGGCATCTGCCGGCTACACCCGGTTCAACATAACCGTTCGTTCGTTGGTTCTGCCTTTGTTTATGTGAATCCGTCTGCTGTTGGCACTTTTTTGCGTCATATGCAGGCAGGTACCTAGGTATGTTACAGTAGATAAACGTATAAGATCAAAGATCGCTCTCGTTCGAGTTTCCTAGTGATTTATTAATAAATCTTGGCGGCAGAAGAAAAACATAAACTACATTCGTCTTGCTCGATAATTGCCTCCGCCTAGACAACGATCACACAGGTTGAAATCGAAAGCGCCAAAACAGCGTGTAAGAATACCATATAGGGGTAGACGGGGCAAGATAGCCACCCTAAGATTTACATCATTTTTATATGGCATAATTGCCAAAATTGTCTACTCTAGTCGTTAATTGATGTGTGTTCTAGTACCTGCCTGCAAATTTTCCATTTATTTCCAATAAATCAAAAAGTTACTTTTTACACCGTTGTCAGATACCCCGGGGGAAGATGAGCATCCCTACGGAGCAAGACTAGCACATTAACAGAAGTGGGTTTTACCGTGCCAGCTCCATATTTTAGAGATGAACTAGCCTAAGGCTAAAAATCTCTTAAATAAAGAAAAAAAAAAAAAAAAAGTTCCATATTTGACGCGTTCCTGATAATGACGGACTCGTCTATGCTTTATCGCATCTCTATTTTGACAAGATATTTTTTAAACTTTATTTCACCATCATCCCTAGAGCACTGGAACTAATATTTGCAGAAGTAACATTTCAAAAATAATGATAGAAAATAGTCGAACATTATTGAGTGCGTCGATTTAGGAGCCGCTTAGAATATGTTTTTTTTTAATAGTATAGATTTATATTATTTAGCTTATCAAACCGAAATGCCAGCACCAGGATGAAAAATTAACTGAAGGAATATTTCTAAATTATTTTTGGAACGTTACATCTTTGGATCATTGTTGAAATGTACGTATGAAAATCAAGAAAAATTCTAAAAAGCGCATTTTAATTGCGATTGAAACTAATGGGGTTCTACGGTATTAGATTGTTGATGCAAGTTTTAAGGGTGCTCATCTCGTCCCGGGTGGTGATGTTGCCCCGTCTACCCCTATCATATAACATGGACTGCATCAGCGGGACGGTGTGCCAGAATATGGGCTAACGTTCAACAGACTGTTGATTCATAATTTCTTAGTCTTTAGCGTATTGTATTGTACCAACTGGTATTGTACACCAAAATCATGCGCAACACGCACCGTCCATTTAGGATGTTATAAAATTGTTTTAATTCTGTTTCAGCCATCACACGGTGCTCCCTCATAAGCGCTCATTCGCGTGCCGGTTGTTGGGCAGGTTGGATTTGCGTCTAGTGGCTGTGTACCGAAGACAAGCTAAAGATTCTGTTTTAGATTTTTAAGGTGAGAAAAATGAAAAAGATTTTCCACAAAAGAGGTAGTACGATACTCACAGAGAAGCCGTTTGCTTGCGTTTTGCAATCGCGTTATCGCGCCGAACGTTGTGATAAATGTTTCAAATTGTGAGTATTCCTATGAACCTTGGGAATGCAAGTGATTTTTAAAGATGCGTTTTTTTTTCTATAGCGAGAAGGTATTGAAATGTTCCAACTGCTTGTACGTGCGGTACTGTAACCGATTTTGCCAGAAGGAAGCATGGTCAGATCATCAGGACGAATGTGAAAAACTGAAAGCGGTTGGCTCCCGGACGGTGCCGGATGCCGCACTAATGATGTCTCGCATAATCAGGAAGTTGCACAAAGGAGGCGACTTTCAGAAGGGTTTCTACACCGCCAAATTCTACCGTCGATTCGGAAATCTCATGACGCGTGAGCCACCCTTTCACCTTTAGTACCGCCCCTACTCTCCTCGTATATAAATATGCATCTCTATTTTTCACATCACCGACATTTTCGACCCATTTTGCGTTACACTCGTAAGGTGATACTCGTCATATTTTCCTCAAACGTAAAGCTTTTGTCGCTCATTTTTGACTCACTAAACAAGATGCGTTAGAATGAAAAAAAAAAGTAAGTTTGCTATTTTTGAACATCATCTACGAGAAAGAACCAAAATTAAAAGTACACCAACAACGAACGATTGACGTGCAGTATTGCACGCATTTAAAAAAATCCAAAACTGCCAAATGACTGCGAAGACGTCCGTGATCATCGATCTCGGATACCGAATCAGGCGTAAGACTACAATGTAGTGTTTTTGTTTTACTCGTTTTTTTTTTGATTTTTGCAGCGCGCAACAAAGTGTTACATTACGCTATGCGAGGAAGAATCGTATGTGGAAAGGAATGTGTGCTAATGCTTGATTTTCTGCCATCGTTTTGAGAACCATTTTCTCTTGGCTTTTTTAATTGATTTGTTACATACCATTCGATCGTTTTTTGGTTTTTCTCATCTCTGTATCAACTTTTTTTTTTTTCTTGAATTTACATAATAGGCTAAATTGGTCAGCGAAAGGTCATAACAACTGTCCCGAAATGTGCTAGCGCATTAGAAATTTTGGAATGATACAATGTCAGTTTATTTTTCGTTTTCGTAACATATTTTCGCAGATGAGGATGATATCAGAAAGGACAAGACACGCATGGAGCACTTTCAATCGTTGGTCGTGGTTCTGCGCTCATTGGTAGACGAAGCGGCCATGCCCAGTAATACCGAGCTGCTGCAAATCTTTGGAAAGGTATGTTAATTAATCGCATGTAGTTTGAAACGTTAATTTAAGTTAAGAATGCCGCGTTTGAATTAATATTGAAGATTCTAATGGCAGGGCTGATAGCAATCACTGCTGTTAAAAATAGTGATTTTAGTCACCATGTTGATGAAATAAGTGATCAAATAGTGACTTATAGTTGTAAAATAATGACTAAAAGTGACCTAAAAGTAAATTTTAATGAAAACTATTAGGAATTTCTGAGGAGCACAACTTCTGTGAGCTTCAGAGGAAAATTCCAAGGGGCATTATGAGCATAATTTCATAAAGTTTGTGGGAGAAAACGAATCCGGAGCATAAGCCTTGGAATTTTTTTGAAAATACCAAAAAGAGGATTACAATTAAATCTAACAATAACTCCAGGACATCTTCAAAGGAATTCGGAAAATGAATTCAGGAGAGTTTGCCAAACAAATTATGAGAAGAAATCTAAGAAATTTGTGAGTAGAAATGCCAATGAAGGAGACTTTCAATGTGAGTAGAATTCCAAGAGAAGGAGTGAGAAGGAAATCTGAAATTAATTCAATATAGGGAAAATGTCTCTAATGTTGGCCTATGGATCTAAGATTGGGCCCATCGCTAAAAATCTGCTATTTATCAATTTTATCTAGATGAACGCGTTATTGGGACGTTACTAATGGATATTTTTGGTTGCTTTTGAAAATTTAGTCGATTGCTGAATTTATGTATGGACCCAAAATAGGGACACTTAGGCCGACATTACCTGCATTTCCCCTATATTCGGAGAATCTTTCGAAAGGGTTTCTTATTGTGGAGAACTTCAAGGTAATTCCAAGGAAAACTAAAAAAAAATTGAATTCGGAGGATAGCTGCACCAAAATTTTGAGGAATATTTCAATGGAAATCTCCGTTGAATATGGAATAGACTATTCTGAAGTTTTCAGAAATACTTGAAAGTTCTCAAATTTTTCCTGAAATTGATAAAACTGTCTTGAAGTTCTTTTGTAGTTTGAGAAACTAGCCTGAGCATCACAATACTTCTCATCAAATTCTTAGACTTCTTTAAAATTTATGTGACTTCTCTAATGTTAACGGAACTGCTCTGAGCTTCTGTTCTTTTCTGAAATTCTCAAAAGTTCTTTAAAGTTTTTGCACTTCTCATGAAGCTTGTTGTACTACGCTGAATTCAATTGAACCGTCCTAAACATGTTTAAGCTTCACTGAACTTCTGAACTTATGCGAAGACCTCAATTAACTTTATAACGTCTCAGAAGTTATTTGAAAATCAGGGAACTGCTTTAAATTTCCCATCAATTTTCTGAAACTGACCTCTCCCAGAAATTTCTCCAATTTTCGGAGCTTACAAAATTTCTTTCAAATGCTCTCGCATTTTGTTAATGTTCATAAATATTCCCGAAGTTCGCGGATAGATTTCTATGAAGTTCTCGAAATGTTTCTGAAGACCACTGTTTTTCGAAATTTCTAGAACTTTTGTGCTCCCCCAATGTGCATGGAATTCGAACGAAATAATTAATATAGTTCTATGATTTTCACTGAAGTTCTCAAGATTTTTCTAAAGTTCATGAAACTTCCATTAAATTATCGACACTAAATTAAAACTTTTTCAATAGTCTAGACTTTCCTGGTGTTATTAAAACTGCCTAAACGATTACTGAATTTCTTTAGTTCTCTAGACTGCCCCTGATTTATCAGTATTTTTTAAGAACCAGCTTACATGAAGTTCTCTAAATTTGTTAATAATCCGGCAATTTTTCTGATATATTTTCATAATTCCTTGACGCTTCTGACGTTTTTGGATCAATCATAGAATTCTTGAAATACCCGCCAATTCCACGGAACTCCTTGTAAGACACTGCAAATTTGCTTATGTCTTGATGTTCTCGATGCTTTCCTAAAGCTCTCAATTCCCGTAAGCACATTTAAATTTCCCGGAAATTCTCTGGACTTCTGTGAAGTTCCTGAAATATTTTTGAAGTATTCATAAATTCTCTGAAGGTACTTCCTTAAATTCTCGGAACATCTCGTAGGTTCTAGATTTTTTTCAGCACATCATGGAACTATCCTGAATGTTTCTAAATTTACGATTATAGATCTGCCCCAAAAGTCTGGACTAAAGTTACGGGAACTGCTCTTAATATTTGAAATTCCCCAAAGATCTCTAGATCTAGCTATTCTGAGGTGCTTAGAACTTCTTAAAAAATTGCACAATGCCCCTCAAATTTTCTATATTTCTCAAGTTCGCTTGACACCTGTGAAGTTCTCTTAAATTCTAGGAACTTCGTAAAAGTTCCTGAAAATTTTCGGATGCTAAAAGAACCGCTTTGAGGTTCTTAAAGCTTCCAGTAAGTTTACCGTATTTTCAGCGTGTTGACTTCCCTTATGTTCCCTTCAGTGCAATTCCACGCCAAATCGGTCAGTCACCAAACTTGACTATCTTCGATCTGGATGATACTTGGCACATATTTTCAGTATGATAGACCAAGTATTTTCCGCAGGAGAGGAGACCCTTTTGACTCAAGGGTAATTTTTGAAAAGGGCCTATGTGTTTTTGAACACATACTTTAAAAAAAAGGTATAAATATTGTTTTGGTATTGAAGCTACTCTAACAGAGAAGCTCTTTTTTTCATGAAAAATACTATGGAAGACATTATAATGTACCTAAAATAATAAGATGGATAAGTACATCAATATTAACAACTTAAATAGGATGAAACTACGCTTGATAATGAAAATAAGTGCAACTTAACTTGTGTTGGTTTCTATATTTAAAATAATAGTGGTTTCATTTCCCCTGTAAATTCTAAACGGGTTGTCTGATCGTTCAATCGTCAAAAGACAAATTGAAGGTAAATATATGTGTATCTTGCAAAACTTATCATATTTGATGGACAATCACGTATAACTTACGAAAAGGGCATATTTTCTACAAAAAATTGATTATGATGAAAGTAAATTTGAAATATCTCGAAAACGGTTACATTTAGGAAGTTTATCGATATGAGCACTATCGTTTGAAATTTTTATAATCATATACTGACATCAAACTGAACATTTTGCCGTAAATAATAAAAGTTTCAAAAATGCCTAAAAAGTTGCTCTTAGAAAAACTTTTTTATTAAAAGTTTGTCCATCCTGTGAAACTCTTGCATATAAAATATCTCTAGATCAGGACCAAATAGAAAGTACATGTATTAGCAAAGTTTTTCAGGAATTCAAGATTTTTTTTTGGGTAACAATAGTTCAGAATTTTCACACTATGCGGCGCTAGTATATAAATGCCTTTCTCGCATATTCAATAGCTCGATATCTTGATCAGCTAGAAAGTTGCTGTCTTCGGTAAAGTTGTTTAGGGAGTCAAGAATTTTGGGCTGGTAAACAGTAGTTAAGAATTTTCTCACCACGTGGCGCAAGTATACATGTACACTTTTCGCATGTGCTATATCTCGAGATTCTGACCAGATAGAAAGTTACTGTCTACGACAAAGTTGTTCAGGAGGTCAAGGTCTTTTAGCTGGTGGACAGTAGTTCAGAATTTTCTCACTGCGCTGCGCTAGTATACACGTGCAATCCTCATATATGCTACAGCTCGAGATCCCGAACAGCTTGAAAATTACTGTCTTCGGCAAAGTTGTTTAGGAGATCAAAGGTTTTTTGCTGATGAACAGTAAATATTTCAAAATATTTTCATTATGCGGCGCTAGTGTGCATGTAAAATATTTGTATATGCTATAGCTTAAGGTCAAGAAGTAACTGTTATCGTCAAAGTTGTACATGCGGCAAAGTTCTTCCGGATGGTGAGCATGCAAATGTGTTTTGTTCAAAGCTCTCTCATTTTACGTCCAATTTTTGATCTCTTTAGGTTATTTGAATGGTATGAATAGTATAGTATAAAGGTTCTACTACTTCTTTTAATTTCAATTTTTTTCAAGTCAATTCTGAGAAAATCAATCATGATTCTTCAGAGTAAATTATAAAAAATAGTGTAACTATGGGTGAACGTTTGGTATATAAAGTTTGAGCAATTTGCCTCTTCGTATTTCCATTCAAAATCTTCAAAATGGTCTAAAAAGAACGAAAATTGGACGTTTTTAGGGCGTGTCCTTAAACTTATGATCGGGAGTGTGCGGTTTTATAAATTTCTCTATTCAACTGAGCAAAAGTACCTCACTCTCTGAGTTAGTCTCGTTGTCCGTGCACACGTAAATACAGGGATTTTTTTTTTTGTTCTAGACCCCTCGATAAACATTTTAAATTAGCCTTTAATGAAAGGGAGACTCTAAACATTAATTTGATGGAAGGTTCAGCGATATTGATGTTTTAAGATAATGTTTTCCATCTGAGATACGTGTTACCACTAATTTATCAGAGATACACAAGTGGAACGACTCACCCCAATTTATGTATCCATAAATCTGCATGAAAATCCAGAATATATTTGTCTCATCCCACATAAGCTGATGTAAATTGTATTTTTATTTTATGATATTTGATATGTGAGAATTGCCCGCCAAGTTTTCAGTAATTTCTGAACTACTGTTCAAAGATCTTTATCTCCTTAACAGCTTTGCCAAATACAGTAAATTTCTAGCTGTTCAGGATATCGAGCGCCACGTGGTGAGAAAATTCTGTACTGTCAACCAACGAAAAAGTTTTGATCTCCTGGACAACTTTGCCGATGACAGTTTAGCAGGTCTCGAAATACATCTAATGCGAGAATTGCACGTTAATACAAGCGCAATGATGTGAAAAAAAAATTGAATTTCTGCCAGCCAAAAGACCTTGACCTCCTGAACAACTTTGCCGAAGACAGCTATTTGGTCAGGATCTCGTGATATTTTATTTGTGAAAATTTCACGTGTATACTATCGCCGCTTAGGAAATTCTCAACTATTGTACACCAAGCAATAGGCTTTGACCTCCTGAACAACTTTGTCAATGACAGTAACTTTCTATCTGGTCAGGATCTCGCAACAAACTACATGCGAGAATTTCACGTGTATTCTAGCGCTACGTAGTGAGAAAATTTTGAACTACTGTCCACTAGCGATATATATCTGATCAGAAGCTCGAGATATTTTACATCCGAGAATTTCACGTGTATACTAACGCCACGTATTGTGAAAATTCCGAATTATTGTGCATCAAGCAATAGGCATTGACATCATGAACAACTTTTTCTAAGACAGTAATTTTCTAGCTGTTCAGAATCTCGAGCTATAGCATACGCGAGAATTGTACACGTTTACTAGCACCAAGCCACGTGGTAAGAAAATTCTGGGCTACTGTCCACCAGCCAAAAAGTCTTGACCCCCTGAACAAGTTTGCCGAAAACAGTAACTTTCTATCTGCTCAGGATCTCGAGATATTGTATATGCGAGAATTGCATGTGTGTACTAGCACCAAGTATTGAGAAAATTCTGAACAACTGTCCACCAACGAAAAGATCTTGACTTCCTGAACAACTTTGCCAAAGACATTTACTCTTTATCTGGTCAGGATCTAGTGATGTATCACATGCGAGAACTTAACATGTATACGAGCACTATCTAGTGAGAAGATTCTGAACTACTGTTAACCAGCAAAAAGGCTGTGATCTCCTGAACAGCTTTGCCTAAGACAGTAACTTTCTATCAACTCAGGATATTGAGCTATTGTATATGCGAAAATTGCACGTTTATACTAGGGCCACGTAGTGAGAATTTTCTGAACTACTCCACCAACGAAAAGATCTTGACTTCCTGAAAAACTTTGCCGAAGACAGTAACTTTTTATCTGGTAAGGATCTAGAGATATATATATATATGCGCGAATTTTACATGTATACTAGCGCCACGTATTGAGAATATTTTGAACTTTTGTGCACCAAGAAATAGGCTTTGATCTCATCAACAACTTTGTCGACGACAGTAATTTTCTATCTGGTCATGATCTCGAGATATATCACATGCGATAATTTCACATGTATTCTAGCTCTACGTAGTGAGAAAATTTTGAACTACTCTGCACCAGCGAAAAGGTTATGATCTCTAGAACAACTTTGCCCAAGACAGCAACCTTCTATCTGGTCTCGAGATTTTCCATGTTGTAACCAATTAAGTCAAATCCCACGTAGTACGGACACCGTTTACGCGGTTTCCATTCACATTTTCTCTATTAACTGCATTTTTTGGGGGTTAATTGTGATAAAGTTTAGCTTTTTTAGTTAAAAACAAGTTTTTAAAGGAATACCCGTTGGTTTCATATCGATTGGTAGCTCGGCTGCAAAATGGCAATGGAAAACTCACACTGTTGTACAAAGTACAACGCGCGAGTACTCGTGTTACAAAAGTTGGCGCGAGTAACGGAGGGTTAAATAAGAACGATTACATTTGCAAAAATCACCTTATTAGCGCCCCTCGGTGTCACTTTGTATGGGAGCGAGCTGGTTTGTCAGTTTAGTGTTCGATATATTTTTCAAAATTAAAAAAACCCAATTCACCTGGATCCTTTGTGGAGTCGAAGAGATACGACAAGGGCCCTGTTTGTGGCAGACATATGGTTCACTTGTCACCCTGCTATTTATCTTATAATTACAAAAGCAAACTTAAAATTACAATTATATGAACATGCAAAATAAAACTTGACAAATCATCGGCCCCTTATTCTTGGGCAGGGCCTGACGATGTTTTGATCAGTGAACGGGCACTATATGGTATATTCTCTCACTATGAACCTGTCATTTCTAGCCTGCTCTATTTAATAAATGGAAACCATGACATGGATTACGCTCCCCTAGACGGGCCCTCCGCATCCTATCTCTGTCTTATCTCAAATACCAAATACCAATGGTTTGAATGTATCAATATATAAATTGGAAATGGCGTTCAATCAAATAAACCCATACCCCACTCATTTGGCCGAAACTTCAGAATCGTCCAGTGGGCAGTGCGCTCTACACTCCAAGTTCCCTTTCTTTCAAATTCACCCTAAATTTGATATTTTACCTCTTTGAGTGTTGATTAATTGTTATTGTTATTGCTCAGTTCACACCCTGGCAGGCTGCTGCCTACCGATCTGCACTTAAGCCAGGCATGAACCTATGGAAATTTAGTCGTGGCCTATGCTAGACCTTATAGCATAACGACTTTCCTTTCACTAGCAGGCTTTTTGGTCCCACTAGCGTTCGATTAGGGGATAGTAAGAGATTGAAAGAATAAAGAAGAGAGATAGAGGATTTTGTTGTTTTGCTAGAAAAAAAAATTAAAAAAAAAACCCGCCGGCTTGTTGTGCAACATCAGTTTTTTTTTTAGACTTTATTTAAGAGATTTTTAGCCTTAGGCTAGTTCATCTCTTTGTGCAACATCAGGTTTGTTCGCTTTCATTCCGTTCCAAGGGGCAACGTCCATCGTCGTCGTACTCAAATACCTAGGAACCTCCAGAGGTGCACAGGGCCAATGTGAAAGACTTCCATTCTGGGCAGCTGCTTGACCTGGGCCCAGGTCAAATTCCTATCGGCTTGCTTAATTTCCTTGTTGACGCTCCGCCGCCTTAGTATTTGCCTTTGCTGCGATGTTCTGGCGGATTTAATTCATAATCAAACGCTTGCCTGCAGACTTCGTTTCTATTGCTATCGGCTTCTGATGACATTTACACCTGAGATCCATTTGTGAGGCCACCAGCCACAAGTTATATACCGCAGGCAGCGGTTGATGAGGCCTGCAGTTTTTGTTTTTGAGTGTTCTCCACTGGTGCTGCACAGATTCCATGTTTTAATCGAAGTTTCGAATCTTGGTACGTTGACCTATCTGATTTGATCTCCGCTTTTGTGTAAATGTCATATTATCACCGACCTTATTACCTTATTAATGTGTGACATCAGGTGTACGCTCCTCTGTGTTTTCGTTACCAAAGACACGTTTGTTGCATTCCCGTATGTCTCAATATTATTCTTGTTGAACCACCGTCAAACCCATTATCCAGAGACAGCGAACCACCTTAACACCTGAAATTATACAAAAACAAATTAAACATTAGCACCAACCCCCCCCCCCCGAATCGTCAGGTAATCAGTGGGTTACCATCTGGCACCTCTTAGCAAGCACTATGCTACGAAGCGGACCGGAAGTTTCAATGAACAACCTCCCTCAATTACCTCTTTGAGTGTTGATTAATCACAATGAAACATTGTGACAGAACACGGACTTACCCTAGAGTATTAAATAATCTAGGTCCTATGTAGGATAGTATCGGAAAAATCCAAATCTGGCCAACGCCCACCACTTCAGCAACACTGCTTTTTGTTAGAAATAGTTTATCGCTAGTAGCTTCAAAACTTTTTCACCACGTTAAGTTCTTCTTAACTGCGCAGAATTATGGCGGTTTACGGTACTATCGCGTGATCCAAATCGAGTAACAAAGCTGCTACTGTCTGTCACGATTCAAAGACAGCAGCGAGTGAACTGACTTGAGTGCCATCTAACTATGGTACCAAATCTCTAAACTGGCTAAACAAAAATCTCAGCACACCAGAGTTATCAATACTGATTGGAATTTCAAATCGCTCCCCAACCCATTGCAGATGTGCATCAACAGCTTCAACATTCTGGACGACGACATGAACAGCATTGGCACCGGCATGTATCTGGGAACGTCGATTATCGATCACAGCTGCCGGCCAAATGCCGTGGCCACCTTCGACGGATCCACCGTCCGTATACGGTTGCTCGAAGACTACCATGGAGGCGAAATAGACTTTTCGAAGATTTTCATCTCCTACATCGACTTGCTGAACACGGCCGATGAGCGTAAGGCTCGCCTTCGCTCCCAGTACTTCTTTGAATGTGGTTGCGAGCGTTGTCGAGACGAGGAAGAACTGAAACTGATGAACGCCGGTGCTTGCTCCAATATCGATTGTGACGAACCGATACCGATGCTGGATAGAGAGGTGAAAAAATGCCCTCGATGTGACACTGACATCAAAGTTACCGCGAGGGAAACGTTCCGAGAGATTTCAGACTTTACCGTACTCAAACTGGCTGAGATGAAGGATGTTGCTTGTAAGGTTTTTGTGCTCGGTTAAAATTGCATTCCACTGATTATTTTAAAATTTCAGATATGGACGTGTGTCAACTCTGTCTAAAGAAGCAGGAAAACATTCTGCACTACTATAACGTTTACTACCTAAAGACATTGGATCAGGCTTTCGAGAGTGCTATTAACATGGCGAAATGGGAGGACGCCATTGGATATGGACTGCGCCTGAAGGACGGTTTCAAAAAGTACAACGGTTCGTTTCATCCGCTGTACGGATTGCTGCTGTTGAAAATTGGAAAGATTCAGCTCTTCAAAAAACACTTCACGGAAGCTCTGACAAACATCAACGATAGCGAGAAGATCTTACGTGTGACTCACGGCGAAGAGCATGATTTGTATAAAACCCAACTGATTCCACTTCTATGTCAGGCAGCGAGCGAATACGACTTGATGAACAAGTGATAACTGTTGTTGATAATAAATATTTTTAGTTACCTATAATCTGTAAGTCAACATAATCTGCAATCACCTCCCCAAACTACCGCCAGATGGCAAGTTCTTTCTAAATAAGCACACGCATTCGTTTGAAAAGTTTACAATCTTATCTAGAGGCCGTATATTATAGGACTTAAAACTCATATCCGTTTGAAAGCGCTTACCTTTTTCAGCATCTGTCTCTTTCGCTGGAATGACATCTGCTTCTGCCGGATAAACTGATGCTTCTCGAGATTTTTCTTGCGATGACTTTCCCGTTTGATGAGTTTCACTTCCTGCGACAGCCCGTAGCCTACAATATCCGCATAGTTAGATCCGGGAAATCCGCTTTCGTCCAGCTGTTTCAACACACTAACCTTCACGCGACACGTTATTTCGTCATCTTCAACATTGTGAGCAACTTCCTCTTCTTCGGTTTTCTCCTTCTTTTTCTTTTTAATGCTAGCATCGCCTTCTTCTGTGGAGGCATCCGTAAGCACTTCTTCCGATGGTGAAGCTTGGATTTCTTCCGTTTGTTGGTCGAGTTGAGAAGTTAAATCAACCTCTTCATCGGAACGCTTTCGATTATTCTTTTTGGATTTCTTTTTTACCGGTTCTTCTATTTCTAACGGCTGATCATGCAGTAATTGCTGTGATTTATCTTTCTTAGATTTCTTCTTCTTTGTTTCAGTCCCGTCTAAACTGAGTTCTTCCTGTGCGATCTTTGTTCGCTTTTCCTTTTTAGATTTTTTCTTACGGGGTTCTTCCTGTTCTGGCTCTTCTTCTACGACACCATTCGTTAAATTGAGCTCTTGAACAGTCCCGGATACATCGTCCTTTGACTTGGTCTTCTTCTTTCGCTTCTTAGATATTTCCTCGCCATTGTCAACGACTTCTTCTGAAGAAGGATCCGCCACAGTCTCGTCTAAATCAATGCTTTTTTTAGACTTTTTAGACTTCTTTTTGGACGGTACTTCCTCCGTTTCTCCCACTGTTTCTTGCTCGATCACAGGGTTTGCTTTTGTAACACCAAACTTTTCCTGCATCTTACTTTTGAAGTAATCCTGCACAGACATGCAAGCTTTGATCGTGGTCAAACCCATCACGTTGGATTCGTCAGGGTCCTGTTCACCATCCTGGATCTCTTTGTCGACTTCTACCTCAGCGACCACCGTTTGATTTTTCACTTCATCTAACGTTTTCTTACCGAAGATGTTCGCCAAATCCTTCTCGCTAGCCCTGCTCAAGTCTTTTCCTCTGGTAAACTTTTTATAATGTACCCTGGCTCTCGAATTCTTCGACTTTTCCTCCAGGGATTTCATTTTCATCAAATCCCCCTCACGCTCGGCGGGAGCTTCTTCACCGTTCAGCGATTTCAGCAACTGATTGAAATCCTGGTCATGTTGCGTCCAATGATCGTCCTTTTCCCCTGCATATCCGACGCCTTCCGCGTCTTGTTTTATCTTGGGCATAATTGGTGCAGCCATGCCATCCTCTCGCTTGCCAAGACCCTTGCCCTCGGACCAGCCCAGCTTTTCAAGCATCCGTACGCCAAAGTTGCTCGAATCTGCAATACAATCATTCGGAAAATGTTAGTCCAACCACCAAAACATACCTATATTACTGCATTTCGTACCTTTGTAGACGGGTGCCGCACGTGGCTGTTGTCGAATCTGGCAAAGTTTTCTCTGTCGCATTTTCATGCTCGGTAGAGCGACCGAACCAAGATAGTCACCCATTATTGCTTGATTGTAGCTTCAGTTACACTTAGCGGAGAGGAACGCAATACAGTTTATTCGGCCAAAACGGCAGAAAAACAAATCAAAATGCACGACGGACCACGGCGAAGTCACTCCGCGAACGAAAAGGTAAATAAATACCCATGCTTGCGAAAATATTTTTTGACATTTCGAAGGTCATCCGTAAAGTCCGTAAGGAAGCTACAATTGAGGTGAGCGGTAAAATGCTTGCACACTAATTATGTTTGATGAAGATGAGCTTAAATTTGTACCATAGCCGTTCACTGAGGCGAACCGGGCGCCAGGCGAGTAAGAGAGGTGCCACAGTCGGAAAAAGTGTTAGTTTGTTTACTTAAATAAAACATGCCCATTTTGTTATGGCATGTTTGCTATAAGAAATGCTCCTCGTGTTTATTGGCGAATTTCACATCAAAGATTGATTAATTGAGTAGGAAATCAGTTTGGCACGGCATTTGTGACCAGCAACCACCAACACTGGGAGACCGTGAGTTCCTGCCCACCTGTCATTTCCCATCTTGAACCGGGCGAACCCTAACAAAATTTGTACACAGCAAAAAAAAATGTAATTCAAGCTGATGTATGAAATAATGATGTAATAGCAAAAAGCAGATACAATATTACATCAATGGATGTAATTTTGTTCGCAAAATCGATGTACATCGTACAACGTTATATCCGAGTTTATATCAACAATCAATACGAAACTAACGATTTTAAATTGGCTCACTACTTGACTAGCCTATTGGTCCCAAGCAAACGATTACTACACGAAACGAAAATCAATTATTTTATTCATGTGTTTCACTTATACATTTTTGCCAAAACAACAGCCTTATACATTTCATAAGACAAACGACATAGGTCCTATAAGAATGCATTAAAGGTATGTGTGACCGCTTATACATTTCATTTGACACATGATCTTCATTAACTTTTTGCAAGGCGTCTGCTCATTAGTTGACTTATACATTTTATGAATAATCAGCAATAGAAATTTGCCAAAAGGTATAAGGAGATTTCTATCCGTGTAGGCTTAAATATACAGATCAAAGCGAAACGAAAATTGAAGCACGCGAAAAATCATGAAATTTCGCTAGCGAAAAAGGTTGTGAAAAAATGTTTGTGGAACATTTTCCAGTTTCCTTTTTTCGCAGTTTACAGTTCATGTGAAACGAAATCGATCAGTTTACACCTCCGGTGAAGTGAAAATCTGACAGATACGCTCTTTCTCGAAACGTCAACTTTTCGCTTAGCTGCTGCTCTTTTTGCTAGCGCTGCATGCGCGAAAAAAAATAAACGTAAGCGAAAAAGATACGATCCACAAAATTAGATTTCACTGGATCCTATCTGTTTACAGTTCAAAGCGAAGCGAAATATTTGCCAATTGCGTTTTTCACGCAGGTGAAAAATGTAGTATTTTGTATGAGATTTTCGCTTTGCTTCGATCTCTATACAGCCTTAACAACGTGTTCATGGTATCATCCAAACCGTTTGTAGAATAGTTATTGTTCGGGTGTGTTATTTTTTATAAGGGAAAGAACGCTTGAATTCCATAAGTACCACTTATGAATTTTAGCCACAATAAATCGGTATGAATGTCTTTGATTTGCCTTATGAAAAATAATATTGATAAAAAAAAAAATAATAATTCGGAGCAGACTGGAAACCAAACCATAGACGTTGAGATTGCGTGTGTTGACCGCATGTCTTTCTACATCTTTGTTCTGTCCACAAAAATAAACTAGGTTGATTCAAACGTTTTTTATGTTTAAAGTCATGTATGTCACACATTTTAAACGTGAATTTCGCAAGGAATTTCGTAATGTCTGTTTTGATTCGCTATGAAAATTTGACAGATAAAATGAGTGGTTCGTGGATTTTCCTATGTTTTGAGGGGTGCATCGATTGGCTTGGGACCGAAGATAGTACCAGAGCTGAGCCAAAAAGTTGAGCACGTTTCTTCGGGACCTTCTGCTCTTAGAGTTACCTCTATGGTTTTACCAAAGATGAATACTAAGATGAAACTGTCGGAAGAAAAACTTTCTATTTTAGTGTCTTCCTTCACGGTCCCTTTCATCCAATGAGAACCCCCCGTGTTCAAGGTAATTTTGGGGTTTTGCTGCCCCCTCGGAAGAGATGAAATTTTGCGCTCATTTTTATCAAAACAATCACACCAAAATCAGAGATGTCCCATTTTTTAATTACTCGATTAACAACTAATCGATTATTTTTTGTTCGCTGTGCTGCCATTTTTCCACCAATGAGAGTGCAGTACATGTTTGAAACGATCGGTGATGATCCTGTGGAGATGTTAATGCTTATGTCGGCATGATCTAACCGATTATAAATAGTTTACTTTTCGGTTCGTTAATCGATTAAACGATTATTCGAATGAAAATCGGACATCACTAGATGAATGTGAAACGTCATTTCAAATATAAGGACCGTACATAAATAATGATACAATTTGAAAGGGACCGGGGCTAATCACAAATTACGTCGCCATGGTAACTGAAATAAACACGAGTGTTCACCGGTTGGTTTTACTTTGCAGCTTTCCGCTTGACAATTGGGTTCTTTAAGGGTATTGAGGTAAATACATATTCGTAATCTGCATTAAAAATGGAACCCAAACCCAAAATTTTATCAATTTGGGTACACTTGAACTATTTTAAATAAGTTCGATTACATTTGCAAAAATCACCTTATTAGCGCCCCTCGGTGTCACTTTGTATGGGAGCGAGCTGTCAGTTTGTTAGTTTAGTGTCAAACAGTGAAGTTGTTATTTTACTTAAAATCTTAGTTTAAAAATCGAGATGAAAGCGTGTGGGTTCGAAAAAAAATATCGCTGAGCTCAGAAAACGAAGCTCTATCGGATGATGTATAAAAAACAATACATTTTTCAAAATTAAAGAACCAAATAAATATCATTAATATTTTCGATGCAAGCAGCAATAATAAACTATAATAACTACCAATTTGAACAGTTTTTACTCCAAATATTATTTAAGATCAAGTTGTACGTCCTCTACACTCATAAAATTTGACACATTTTGGCGAAATTTCAGGTAAAATTCCACATGATTTTCATGCGTCCACACATAAACATAACCCACTCAGAAGTACACATAAAATGTATGAGCCAAATGAATAATATGTGTAATAATATATGTAATTCTAGCTCTATCTAGATTTGTTTATAATATTGCAAAAAACCATGTGTGGGATACATAATAATAGTCATTAAATTTTTATTAGTGTAGGAAAATACACCTTTTCAAGTCGGGTAGATTAAAGAGCCTGAATTTATAAAGAGGCGACATCTTATCCATTTGACAGGTCTTCTGCTCGATTAGAATGACTTTTTCTATGACTTTGGCAGACAATCGTTTACTCAAATTCGTCATTCATACAAATCAAATAAAGTTTTAAGCTGCACATAAGCCATTCCAATATAGTTGAGTAATGTTAATACCCCGTTCACATTACAGCCTATATCGTGTAATATAGGCTGTCTTGCAATGAGCACTCATACATAGGATTTCCAGTGAAAACTAGATTCATGAGTGCTCATTGCAAGACAGCGTATATTACGTGATATCCCTAATAAAAATTGTATGATTAATTTGCTTAACGACGTGTTCTGGGTATCATCTAAACCATTTGTGGAATAGTTCAATGATTTGAGTTATCGTTCGTTTATGGTTATTTTTTATTAGGGATAGGCTGTAATGTGAACGGGGTATAACCATAGAGGTAACTCTAAGACCACTGGGTCCCGAAGAAAATCATTATTATTTTTGGCTCACTCAGTACCAGAACAACGGTCCCAAGCAGTCCCAAGCTATTTCACTCACCCCTGCATGTTCTGCATGAATCCACACACCCCTGATGTTATCTGTCAAACTTTCATAGCGAATCAAAACAAACATAGTGTAGTAATAGAATTTCAACTAGAATAGGGTACGTTAATCGTTTGCTTGGGACCAATAGGCTACTAAAGTGGTGAACCAATTTAAAATCGTTAGTTTCGTATTGATTGTTGGTATAACGTTGTACGGTGTACACAGATGATGCGAGGATTGATTCTCTAAGTTGATTCCTTATTTATTTTTATTTTTGAGGCCTGAGTGAAAACAAAATGAGTGTGTCTACTTTTGGGCAAAATGAGCGACCGATATTCGAAAATACCCTAATAAAAAATAACCATAAACGAACGATAACCCAAATCATTGAACTATTCCAAAAATGGTTTGGATGATACCCAGAACACGTCGTTAAGCAAATTAACCATACAATTTTTATTAGGGTAGTTCTGGCCGAGGTTCTGGCAACTCTCACGCTGTGCGGTTAAATGAGCAAATCCTTAAAACCGAACGTGCTGAACTGCTGAATGATAATATGGCGGACGCGTAAACGAAACAAACGAAAGGAACGGAAACGTTGAAGTATTTTTGTATTGGTTTTTGAAATATTTTTTTAGTGATTTGGTCGTGTGGTATGTAAAAATAATGGTATTATATATAAAGATTTATTCGAAATCATTTTAATAGGCTTAGAATCGATACAAAAGAAATAGTAAATAGTTGGAGAATTTTAGGAAACTTACCTCTTAAAACCATTGTGCTGCTGAACCCGTGGAATACATCGTTAATAGAAAAAAAAAGGTAGGTAAACCAATAAAACAATGCAGAATATAATTATTGAAATATCTCTGTTTATTATTATTTTATGTAGGTATATGGTGTAATTCTGTGCAGTTAAATAATATATTTTTATGATTTGTGATTTGGGCATGTTCAAATTAGCATTAAACCGAAGACAACATATCAAGGAGACCTCAGAAGAAAGGTTTGTGTATTTGCTCATTTTCCTATGCAGTACTTCCACCTTCGCTCGAGCGCAGCGCTACTGTATCTGGCGCTTGGATTCTGGCAGAGTTGCCAGTCTTCGATTAAACTCATGGAGCACCATGCCTTTTTTGACATTGTGAGCAATAACTTTCTGAAATTACAACCGATTTTTGTAAAAAAATATAATAACATAGTCTGCCCTAGTTCTTCTATTATCAGAAGAAAATCCAGGTCAATATCTCAAGGCACTCCAGAGATAATGAGTTTTAAAATTGATTATACTCTGTGACTATACGAAAACATTCTGGGCGGAAAAGGTTGGATTAAATTCCACAAATGGGCGGAAAAGGGTTAAATCAATGGGAAATACCTAGCAATTTTTGTTCATTACGATCTATAAATCTAGATTATCGGTACAGTTGAAAACTGAAAAAAAAACACGGCAATTGATTTTACTAAAAAGTTCTTGTTCTACGATTGTTGTCAATTGGATTCTTTAATTTCGAAACACATATATCGGATAATATAAATCATCTGAAAAAGCTACGTTTTCTGAGTCAAGTGATATTTTTTTTCGAACTCATCGACTTTGATCTTGATTTTTAAATCAAGATTTAAAGCAAAGTATTAACTTCAATGTTTGACACAGAACTAACAAATTACAAATTGGTTGCTCCCATACAAAGTACCAGCGAGAGGCGCTAAGATTGTGATTTTTTGCTAATGTAATCACACTTATTTAAAATAATTCCAGTGCTCCAAGATTGATGAGTGTGGCCCCTGCACTTGGAACTGGTCTTCATAAAAGGGGGTTATGTCTCGCAAAATCAAAATAACTAACGACCTTCAACGTTCCAATATTTTAGGAAATAGTCGTTGTGCATTTCAGATTATCTTAACAACTGAAGATAACGATTTTATTCTAACTCCCAAATCGCGAAGGGACTGATGTGCTATCACCAGTGGTGGCACGAGTCCTGGAGTTTAACATTTTTTCTTTAACATTTGATACTTTTTGCGATAACCATTTTGACGACACACAAAAACAAACTGGCAAGCGGCAAAAATGTCATGACATTTCTAAACTGTTTTCTGCCAGAGACAGAACATTTTCGCACAAAGAAGCAGACAAGACCGGCGGCGCGCGCGACATAAATTTATGTCGTGTAGAATTTTGCTGATTTCTAGCTAATTACTGCATTTATTTGATTTTATTGCATAGAAATAAAAGATAAGAATGAAGACTGACCACTCATAAGCATTGATGTTAAAAATATGCGTAAATAAGGGAGTTGGTAATTTACTGTCACACGCAAGCCTGCAGCTAAAATTTCATTACAATAAACTGTTTGGAAAAATCAGGCTGCGACATTTTATTTATTCTCTATCTCCGCTGTTCGCTTGGAATGTAGTTATAAACGGCCGCCCGTGTGCTGGCTGTTTTGTTTCGCTCTGGACGATGGTTTTTCAAAAAATGTACTGTTGCCACCTCTGGCTATCACAAAAATTGCTGAATTAATTTTAATTGCGTGAATTGTTTATGGTATTTTTTAAGAAAAAAAAAAAATATTGCGTTTTTACTTTTATCCTGTCTAAAGTATTATCAGGAATTATTCCAAAGACCGTCAATTGATCAAATACCTTCATTGCCTCGTTCATTGCATACCATATTGCATTGGAATGTTGACATCACTGCTCTGTACATCAATGATCTCTTGATATTTCGGCAATTCTTCTGGTTGATAAGTAATTATTCTGCAGCAAGAAAGTCGATTAATCAGAAATTTCTGATTCAAAATCCTTAAATTGATCAAATCAAGAGCCACATGTGAAAAGGGCATTCAAGCTTTTTGTAAACAAACCTTTGTAGGTCCTCTTCTCGCCAACCGAGGGTCGCCCACGTAAACTAACAACATCATCGGAAAGGGGAAACCTTCCCCTATCCGGCGATGTTGATGGTTTGCGTTGGTGTCATATGGGTGGCGAGAAAAGGGCATAAGAATGTTTGTTTACAAAAAGCTTGTATGCCCTTTTCACATGTTGATATTGAAATGCCTGCATAATGTTCTCTGGGTATTTTGGAAATTCTTCTGGATGATAACTTATTATTCTACAATTAATTTCTAACTGTGCAATGGATCAAATCATGTATCTAAGATAGTCTAGCAAAATTTGCAGGCATCAGGTCAGGAATAAAAGGTCTTTAGAGTAATTCCTGATCAACCGGCTTTCTTGCAAAAAGATCTTAACGACATTTTTTGTTAGTTCTTTATTAAGGAGATTTTTAGCCTATGTCTAGTTCATCTCCGATCTTAATTGAACAATTAAAAATTGGCAGAATATTAACTAATCAACCAGAAGAGATCATTGATCTACAGAGTAGTGATGACAATATTTCAGTTTAAACTGGATTCGTTCATTGTTTTGGACGCATCCTGTCAAACAGTTAAAGTTTGGAATCTTCCAGTTTTTTGAGAATTCATCCAGTTTAATCCAGTTTTCCATTATCAATAAGGGATGGTCCATAAATTATGTCACGCAAATTTGGCCCATTTTCAACCCCCCCCCCCTCCCCCCATTGTCACATTTTTTGTATGAACCTAATTTTTTTTGTATGGCTCGCCACAGTTTTCAAAACCCCCCTCCCCCTAAATGTGTGACATAATTAATGGACGACCCCTAACAAAATACTTTGATGTATGATTACACTAGAAACTTTTATATTGGTATTTAAATCTGGAAATGCAGTATTCAATTGAAATGCCATATTGCAATTGAAATCTGCAAATTTTGCAGGTTTGGTATTATGGCAGTTAACAAAGTTAACTTAAATTATGTTGTGAACTTGTAACAAATCAGTAAGTTTCAGAATAACTGAACAATCTCAAACCTTGCCGTCAATATTAATGATGTATCTCTGTTGTTTAACCATCAACATTAATAAATTATCGAGGTTTCTTATGCCTTCGTCATCTACTTTTGTGAATTTATTTAATGAAATTGAAGTAACATTTTAGCTGGTTCTTATGCAGGGTGTCTACTAATTTTGCTAAATAAAATTTCCTGAGATTTCCAGGTTTTTCCTGAACATTTCGGATAATATCCATGTTTATAAGAAACCTATTTTGATTAATTTCAAGTTCGCAATTATTAATTTCAAAGTTGTTCGGCATTTCAATTATTTTTGCTAGTTTTGAAACATGAAAACTTTTCACGTTCCCAAATCTTGTCCTTTGTTCGTTTATTATTATTATTTATTTTTAATTCATTAAGAAAACCATATGTCAGATTAATCGTTAGTACAATAAACAATAGCTGTGCCTTAACCGCTAATTGAGTCCACTTGTAATAATTATTGTTGGTTTCTTATATCTTTTCAGAAAACTAATAGCCCAATATGCTGTACAAACAGGTAAGCGGTCAATAATGTTCACAACTATCGCTTTTCTGTACCATTTTTATGCTTCTCGAAGGTGGAAAGGTCGATATTTTATTTTATAGGAATATACAAAATAATTTTACAAAGTGAATTTTTTTCTCAATGTATGCTAGAAAGGCACATGCAACCAATTCTTAAGTGGCATTATCTATTTTTTAAATTATTTTTTATTAAAATATTTCAAATAGTTTCCCTTTTATATACATGAATCATTTAAGTAGCTTATAGTGACTGACAATTGCTGTCCAACAGCGAAATCAACAAACATAAAAATAAACGGTATTAAACAACTTGAGCTGCTCAAATCAAGAAACAAATTGCATTATTTTCAACAAATATAAATAATTCGGAAGTTAAAATACTGCCAACATATCACCCTTGATTACAGTGATTCGCCATATGCTTCCGCAGGTAATCTCTTCTGGGATATCCACGCCCGCAGATGGTGCATACATACGGCTTGATACCGTTGTGGGCCATAATATGACGCTTCAGATCCGTTGCAAAAGTGTAAGCTGCATCGCATTGGTCGCATTTGTAAGGCTTTTCACCCGTGTGCAATTTCATATGTGCTTGGAGGCATATTTTCCTTGCAAAGGTTGCCGGACAAAGGGTACAAAGTATTGGACGATGTTGCGGATTATGCGTAATTAGGTGACATTTCAAATTGGCCCTGGCTTTAAAACCCTTGCCACAGATTTCACATTTGAATCGATCCTGTGCTACCGAGTGTGCTTTTACGTGTTTCCGGAAGGAATCTCTCATGGCGAATGGTTTCGAACAAACCGGGCATATGAAAGCTCGTTCCTCTTGATGTGAACGTTCGTGGTCTGCTAATGCACTTTTGTCCCTGTAGGTACGACCACAAGTAGCACACTGGTATTGCGTAACGCGGTACGGCTTCGACTGATGTTCTCTTAGAATTCGCATGCTCTTGTACCGCCGATGGCATAAGTCACAAGGGAACTGATTGCTCTTATCATCGGTCGACAAACTCTCAGGATAATGTACCTCGTCGGCATGCTTCTTCAACAGCTCATCTGTATCAAACTGTTCGTAGCAAGCGCAACATCGAGGAAGCTGATCCTTGCGCCTACTGTACGGTTGAATCACATTATTGTGACTATCCTTGTGTTGCATCAGTGTTCGCTCTAGTCTAAAGCTCAGATCACACTGATCGCACTGGAATTTGTTCTTGATGAACAGCAACGATTTATGTTGCCGCCAAGCTTTTTTGTTAGTGTAACGTTTGAAACATATATCACACTCGAATGGCTTTGCGGCAATCTTTTCCGGATCGGTACATCTCTTGCTCAGGTGAACTGTCTTTGAGTGTTCACGAGCTTCTTCCATTGTGGTTAACTTAAATCGACATCTGCAACAACGTTCCGGCGCAGTCTTTTTCTTCTTTGACCTAGGTTTACCTTCCTTAATGTCGTCATCGTCATCGTCGTCCATTACTGTTTCAACGTTGGAAGGATCATAGTCTTCATCTTTATCGTCATCCCACTCATCACCTTCGTCTGCATCTGTAACTTCTTCCGTCTTATCGCCTTTCTCGTTCTTAACGGTGGGTTTGATGTCCAGCACCAAATGGGCAGCGTATAAAGGGTCAGCATATACGCGCTCCTGTGGATCGAAGTCTTCTTCATCGATAGCTAGTTCGGTTTTGATATCGTCTTCCGTCAGCATTGGTATTAGATCATCTTCCGGTGGATGTCTAAAAAACGGAACGATTATTTTATATCAAAACACCATAAGCTGGCGAAGTACCTTGATTTAGATTTAGTTTCCAGTAATAGTTCACGGAACTTGGTATCGGATTGATGGCAACGGATGACCAACTTGTGCGCCACTAGTAAATCATGTTTACACTTCGTACAACACTGATATGGCAGTCCATCGTCTTGATCAATCTATAAATGCATATTAAAAAGTTGATTGAATATAATTTCATGCTGCAAAGAAATCACCCAATACCTCCAGATTGACACAATATCGTAGCATATCTGCAAGCGAATTTCCGTCGACTGCTTCTCGGAGGGATATGACTGTTACGGCAGTTTCGGAACAAATCCGGCATGAGCTGGCATCGATGCTCGAGGACATGATTCTAATGTCCATACTGTGTACTTGCTTCTACTATTTTTATAAAATAATAGCAAATATTGAATTTTTGTGTGATAAGCAGACTGGTGTTTTCTTTTTTGACTAATCATAACAATGAATGGTGAGAAGTGAGAATGTATCACAGGTCATCTCACCTTTTGATGAGTAGGTTGAAAAACCCTCATATATCTTTCGGGATCCATGAACAAGGAACGTGTTTTTCCAATTGAAATCTTATTTTTTTTTATCTAGTTCGTTTATTTGAAAGGCTCAATCGCGTTAGCTTTGCGGAGCCGATAATTCATTGTTCTTTGTTTGTAACAAAATTCACCTAATTCTATGTCTAGTAGGAGTTGGGCCGAATACTCGCGGCTTACCCGAGGTTAGAGGGGTACATTGTCGAAGGATAGGAAAAGGGGAGGAGCTTGGGGTAGGGTTTCGTTGTCTCATCAGAGCGATGTCGTCAGTATGAACGGTAGTGTGGTTCTAGATTTGTCTGGAGTTCGACCGGCTATGGTCGGGCAGCGGGTGACGATGAGACTCATCGAGACGGGGGACAAGACAATCAAAAACTAATAAAAAGAGACAAAAGACAAACGAATTAAATTCTTATGCTAGACATTTGCAGAATTGTCAGGGTTGTCTTCCTTGGGCCTGAGGGTATTCAAAAGTCGCTCTCTGGCGGCGTCATTATCCGTACATTGCCAAACTGCGTGACTGATGTCATCGTAACCGTTTCCACACCGACAGATGTTGCTATCCACGAGGTTTATTCTATTGAGATGAGCATCTAGCGAGTAGTGGTTGGATATAAGTCCACTCATCACGCGAATGAAGTCACGACTTAAGCCCAAGTCTTTAAACCACGCTCTCGAAGAAACATTAGGAATAATTGAATGTAACCACCGTCCAAGATTTCCAGTGTCCCAATCGGTTTACCAACTCGAAAGGGTACTCTGACGCACTAAATGGTAAAGTATAAATAAACTTATTTCTAAGTCCTAAAAAAAAAGGTACGGGAAAATTACACATACGCCAAAAATGTTGCATGTAGAATCTCAAGGTTTGAACACCTTATGTGATATGATAAGGTTGTGGAGGACATTGGGTTGCGTATAAAGTCCAAGACGGCGATTGGCTCAAAACCGATTCCAGTTTAGAAGAATTCTCAGTTAGCACTAAAGAATCCATCTATCAGGGCTTAAAGCTCTGGCAAAACAACTTATGAGTTTCTTAAAAAAAATCGGCCACATACGACGATCATATCATTTCCAAGTTGTTCATACGAAATTCGCTTCGCCCGACTATCATAACGAGGTCCTTGGTGGTGTTTTTACATCGCGACAAATAATCTGAAATGTTTTTTGAAATTAGAAATAAAAACGATTTGCCTCACTGGATTAAACACAAATATTTTCGCGTTAATGAATACATTTATGGTATTCCAAGTACTTAAATTAAAGCGAAGCTGGTAACATGTCACATGTCGCTTTTTAGTGACTTTCTTCATGCTGAAACATTACCTTAACTTAGCAATCAGGCTAAGGCCTTGTTGTCCTCTGCTGTCCAAAGAATTCGTCTCCACTCTACTCGATCCATGGCCATACTTCGCCAGCCTCGTAGTTTTTTTGCTGATATAACAAACCATGCCAGCTGCATTGCTATTGATTTCAATTTGACAAAATGATCGATTAATGTACTATGATTTTTTAAATATTTACAATAACATGGCAATTGTCATTTTCTCAATGCCTAATTTTTCCATATGGGACTGATATAATGTTATAGACTGAAAAAATATTCCATGCAGTCTAAATTATGAAATTAATTTAAAAAAGTTTTGCCTAAAATCAACATTATTTTAATTGTATTTCAATAGTTGATTCTCAAGAAAACATATGGACGAAAGTAATGCGCACACAGAGAATCTTAAATACGTACTGACTATTTAATGGAAAATTGACTAACATGAGACGGAACGAAAACTTGTGGACCACCTGTGCTACCATGAGAAGGATAGGGTTAACCCACTCAGAACTTACACGAGCTTGTCACAAGTTTCCTAAACACCACCTAAAGTGTATGCAATTGTCCAAAGCTCACTTTAGTCCTCCGGAGCTGTTTGAACCCCTCCGAAGTATTTTCCCTTTGAATATGTTATATACAGGGTGCGTGACGAATTTTTGCAGTAAATTTCAAATAGTAATTTCTCATGCTTGTGCATCATGATTTAGATATATTTGGCAGCACTGGATAGCTTATACTGTTAGGTGTAAGATTTAAACAAACAATGTTGAGTAAACGTAAAGATGTCGAAACAAGAGAGCAATCTGTCAGCCGTTGTCGCTTTGTTGCGCGCCGGAGTATGCATGAAAGAAATAATTCGGTCGGTAAATGTGTCTGAAAGAACAGTGTATAATATTAAAAAAGGCTTGGGAAAGTGATAAGACGGAGCACCTGCTCATACTGCTAATAAAGCACAGAAATGGCTTACGAAAATATTTCGTAAATTTGGGAGGAAGAAATTTGGCCCCCAAGCAGTCCCGATATCAATCCGTTGGATTATTTTGTATAGGGCGTCGTCCAACGGAATGCCAATAGAACCCCTCACACCACACTTAAGTCGCTAAAAGCTAAAATCAAGGCAGTGATGACATCTATGGATCGAAACATTTTAAAACGTGCATACTGCAGTTTCCGGAAGCGTCGAAAGGGAAGGCAATTTTTTTTGAATAAATTTACTTACAACTTCCATATGTTGCGAAAGAAAATAAATCGCACAAAATTCATTGCTAGAATAACTAACTGGTGTATTTTTCTCAAATATGCCATTTACTGCAAAAATTCGTCACGCACCCTGTATAATGTTATATGTAATAGGCTAGACGAAGAGGTTAATTTAAAATGAACTTATCGTTGAGAAAAAGTGGATTCGAGCAAACGCACCACATATTCCAGATGTTCCAGTTACCGGCATAGCTCTCGAATACAAGGACTGACCTATTTGAAAAATGGTATGTGTAGTGTAATTTGTGCGTCTGGCTACCATTCATTAAAATTTCCCATCACATCGTTAATGTTGTAATAATATTGAATATCATTGAAGGGCAGCTAGCGAGTCACTTTTTATTGACTTGGTCACTTTTTTCAAACCAGTCACTAAAAAGTCTCCTTTTTTAAGACCAAGTAACTAAAGTCACTTTTTTCTTGTAATGAGTCACTATTTTCAACTTTTTTAGCGTGAATTTATTTCAAGATTGAATATGAAATAAATGATTTATTTCAAGTTCGTAATTAACTTTATGAAAGATTAGGGATCTTCATTGCAGTCCCATTAACTTCACAACAATTATAGAAACTTTGGAGAAGTTCTGAGGAATGAAAAGAAATGCTCAGAATTTCAGTGAAGCTCCATAAACAAACAGCGGAAACATAAGGGAAGTTAACACGCTGAAAATATGTGAAACTTACTGGAAGCTTTAAAAATCTCAAAGCGGTTCTTTTAGCATCCGAAAAATTTCAGGAGCTTCTATAAAGTTTCTAGAATTGCAGAGAACTTCACAGGTGTTAAGCGAACTTGAAAAATACATAAAACTTGAGGGGTATTGCAAATTTTTAAGAAGTTTTAAGCACTTCAAAAAAGCTAGATCTTGAGATCTTTGGAAATTTTCAGATCTTAAGAGTAGTTCCCGTAACTTTAGTCCAGATTTTTGGAGCAGTTTAAAGATCTATAATCGTAAATATAGAAAAACTCAGGATAGTTTCATGATGTACAGAAAAAAATCGAGAACCCTTAAGATGTTCCAAGAAATTCAGAGATGTGCAGAGACCTTTAGAGAATTTATGAAAACTTTAGAAATATTTCAGGAACTTCACAGAAGTTCAAATAATTTCAGAGAATGTTTACGAGAATTCCATTCATTCCCGAGGAGAACCGATATCTTCAATGGAAGTGAGAGCTTTAGGGAAGTTCGAGAACATCAACACAGATCAGAGAATCAAAGGGCAGTACAAACAATTTCAAGGAAATTATAGAAACCTTAAAGAAACTCAGGGAATTTTCGGAAACTTCAACAAAGCTTCGAGAGAATTTTTGAAACGTGATATAAATTATATGAACATTCGGAAAACGTGAGAGTATTTTAAGGGTGTTAGGGGAAATGTCTATATTGTTGGCCTATGGATCTAAGATTGGGCCCATCGCTAAAAATCTGCTATTTATCAATTTTATCTAGATGAACGCGTTATTGGGACGTTACTAATGGATATTTTTGGTTGCTTTTGAAAATTTAGTCGATTTCTGAATTTATGTATGGGCCCAAATTAGGGACACTTAGGCCGACATTACCTGCATTTCCCCTATATCATGGAGATTTCAATAACTAAAAAAATTACGACCGAAAGATGAAACAACTGCTGAATGATGAAGATACGTACAAAAAGCTTAACAGGGATCCAACTGGGAGCATCGAAACCAAGAACAATAACTTCGTTAAACGTCTGAAAGATCTGGCACTCATCGATGACAAAACAACGTATAGATTGAAAAGCAGCACAGCTATCTGTCCCCGTATATACGGCCTACCTAAGGCCCACAAACCGGACCTACCTTTGAGACCAGTAGTACCGAACATAACTAGCCCCACATACGAAATTTCCAAATTCGTCAGCAACATCCTACAATCCGCCATACACAGTGAGTACAACATTCGAGACTCGTTCACGTTTGCGACAGAAATCCGACAGATGAGAATCCCGGAGAATCACATTATTGTTTCGTTTGATGTTGTGTCTCTCTTTACAAATGTACCCAAGGACCTGGTGGTACAAGCGATTAAAGAAGAGTGGTCTGAAATAAAGAAACATACCAGGATCAACATATATCTGTTCCTGGAAATTGTGACATTCTGCCTGGACAACAGTTTTTTCATGTTCCGGTCTCAATACTATGCACAGAAATTCGGTACAGCCATGGGGAGCCCACTGTCGCCAATCCTGGCTGATATGGTGCTCAACAAATTGTTAGTGACAGTGATTCAAGATCTAGGATTTCCAATCCCATTCCTAAGGAAATATGTGGACGACTTCTTCTTGGTTCTACCACAGGAAAAAGTTCAGTCTACACTGGATGCCTTCAACAACTACAATGTACATCTTCAGTTCACTGTAGAAGAAGAAAACAACAGACGGCTGCCCTTCTTGGACATGACCGTTACAAGAGAAATGGACCAATCGCTATCAACTGAATGGTACAGCAAACCGATAGCCTCAGGGAGATTACTCAACTACTACTCTCTACATCCGATGCAGCAAAAGGTCAACGTAATCATGAACTTTACGAAACGTGTTAAGAAACTAACATCGAGCCCGGATAACCAACGAGTTAAGCAGATTGCGCACTTCCATCTTCGACGAAACGACTATCCCACAACACTGATCAATCGCATCGTCAACCGTGTTATCCTTACCAATGACACGAACAACATTGGAAACAACAGTGAACCACGAAATACTCAGGAGCAACCAACACAATATGTATCTCTCCCATACGTTCCGAATCTGAGCAATTCCATCATCAGATGTCTGCAAGAGGACTATCCGTCGATCAAAATTGCCAACAGCAATATACACACTGCCAAGATGCTATATACAAACGTGAAGGATCCAGTCGAGCCGTTGCTGCAACATAACGTCATATACAACATTCCCTGTCGAAACTGTGAGGGATGCTATATAGGTATGACTACGAACAAGCTAAAAACCCGAATAAGTGGCCACAAGTCTAATGTAAACAAACTTGAAGGCCTACTAAATTCGGGTCACACATACAATGATCAAGCAATGATCGAGATAGGCAACAAAACAGCACTAATCGATCACTGTATAAAATACAAACACCGATTTGTACTGGACCAAGCCAAAATTATGGACAGATCCTTCATTGCGTCAAGATTACCAATGTTAGAATGCTTCCACATATACAATACACCACGTACCGTAAACTATAGGACAGATGTTGAAGGTATAAGTTCTATATATTCAGGAGTTCTGCATACAATAATGAAGTCGAGCCACAAAACCAAAACGAATGTCCCACATCCACCACCACCGCCACCGCCTCCACCACCTCCAATTCCACCAGCTCCACTACCACATCCCTTTACCGCAGCCCCACCAGAATCAACCCTATCTCCAGTTTCACAACATCACAACAACCAATGAAGCCCATCACCAACAACGATTATCCCATTTTTACAAACCAATACCCAAGCAACAATAGTGAATAAGAAATAGTATCTCTCTCTCGATTTTGCTCTCCTGTATTATACTATGTATCAATGTATGTCAGAGTCCATTTTGGTGTCATAGTAGGTGGTAATATAAAAAATCAGGTAGCAAGAAAACAACACAGTATATCCACCAACGCATCTATCTCTCCAATGCGGTAAAAGCTGTAGGTATTTTAAGCTTTCAAAAAACTAACTCTAACGTTTGCAGATATCTTGGAAGAGAACCGAGAAAAAAAGCTATGACAACCGATCGTGAAGCTTCAGACGCTAAACGAAAAACGGTACAACTTTATGTGAGTCTTTGTGTAAAAAATAATGTTATAGTTACAATGCTAAATGTTCAATGTATTAATTGTAAATAAAACTTGTAGATCCCCTGAAGAAGGCCAAGTCCCAAGGCCGAAACGTCGGACATAAAACATAGTAGCGTTTTGATTATCCGTTAGACTGAAAAGCCGTAATCCTTACAATAAAAAAAAAATGCGAAAATTTTGCTAAGTTGATTATAGAACATCAACAAAGTTCCATTAATTTAAAAGAAAATGCGAGGACTTTTAGCAAGCAGCGATATTTTCATGAAATTCCAGGGAACTTTCAATACATTTAGATATTTTTAGATAGTTTCATGATATTCAGCGAAGTTCCGAGTACTTTGAGGACGATCAGATAGCTTCAGAACTTAATCAAATTTGGAGTTCCGTAGAATTATGGGCTATTCCAAGAATTCTATGATTGATCCGTAAACGTCAGAATGAATATATATCCGAAAATTTGCCGGATTATTAAACAAATTGAGAGAAGTACAGGTAAGCATAGAAAAGTTTAGGGAAAATTAGAGTGTTGTGTTGTGGTTAAAATACTTAAAGAAAATTATCGAAACTTCAAGGTAAATCAATTGTTTTCAGTAAAGTTGCGGGTTCTTAAATAATACTGATTAATTCAGGGCAGTCTAGAGAACTTTAAAGAAATTCAGTAATCGTTTAGGGAGATTTAATCACACCAGGAAAGTCTAGACTATTGAAGAAGTTTGAAATTAGTGTCGATAATTTAAGGGAAGCTTCGTGAACTTCAGGAAAATCTGAGAACTTCAGAGAAAATCATAGAACTATATTAATTATTTCGTTCTAATTCCATGAAAATTGTGGGAGTACTTCGAAAACTTCACAGAAAGACAGTGGTCTTCAGAAACATTTCGAAAACTTCATAGAAATCTATGGAGCTTAAGGGGAGATTCGCGAACTACAGGAATTTTTATGAACATTGGCAAAATGCGGAAGCATTTGAAAAAAGTTTAGTAAGCTCCGAAAATTGGAGGAATTTCAGCGGGAGGTCAGTTTCATTAGTTTCAGAAAATTAGTGGGAAATTTTAAGCAGTTCCCAGATTTTCAGATAACTTCTGAGACGCTAAAAAGTTAATTCAAGTTGACCATTGCATTAGGTCCTAAGTAACATTGACAGATTCTCTTCGGCTACTTTCTCTTTAGTTCCCGAGCTACATCCCCACGGCCATGTAAAAACATTCCAAGGTATTTTCAGCACACAGGCCGATAAAAGAAGCTTTTATCAAGCATCTAATACGACAAACGCATCAATAAACGGTTATTTGCTCAAGTTATTAACGAAAGAGAAAGTCGACGAAGGGAATCGATCAATGTTACTTAGGATCTAAAGCAATGTTCAGCTTGAATTGAGGTCTTCGCATCAGTTCCAGGCCAATGACAAGGCCTATACCAACAGCAGCGTTTGCAGTAGGCAGTATGTCCCGGGCTCAAATCGTTTATTTTGCTGTGCTGGGCCCGCTGTCACGGTATAACATGTTGCCTACGCGCCTGCCACTGGGCTGATCAGTTCAGAAGTTCACGGAAGCTTAAACCACAGACAAACAGACGTAAATTTTTGAATAAAATTATCTTCAAAACATAGTACCGCCAAACATAGGACTGCAGTAACGACAGCTCGTAGGCTTCTCTTGGAAACCCAGCTTGCTCGCTGATTCGCAAACATTGTTGCATGCAAGAAAAACCGAATACACTGGAGTCGCGTTTTACGCGGGTGATACGTCCCGCGTAGAAACAAAAAACCGCGTAAATTCCGAAATCCTCGTAAAAATAACGTGTATAAAAAACCGCGTAAAAAACGACTCCAGTGTATAACGATATACCGCGTAAATTCTGAAAACCGTGTAAAAAAAAAATTCAAAATCCGCGTAAAAAAAACCGCGTAGATTCTGAAATTCGCGTAAAAAAAAACGCGTAAAAAGCGACTCCAGTGTATATAGAAACGTCAAAGTGATCAGATGCCAGCACTGCGGCGAGTAGTTCGCGGAAACGATAACATTCAAACCAATTGTTAAATGCGCAAACGATTATCCAGAATGAAGAGTTACGTCTGTTTGTATGTGCTTAAACATTTGTAGGACAGTTCAATTAAATTCAGCGCAGTACAACAAGCTTAATGAGAACTGCAAAAAACTGAAAAGAAGTTGAGCATGAGAAATTGTTAAACCTTTAGAGGAGATCCATAATTGTTAGAAAAATTGAGGAAGGAGTCTTATAAAGTTCAGGGAAGTTTAAGAATATTATGAGAAGTATTGTGAGCATCAGGCTAGTTTCTCAAACTACAAAAGAACTTCAAGGCAGTTTCATTACCTTCAGGAAAAATTTGGGAACTTTCAAGTATTTCTGAAGAGCTTAGAATAATCTATTCCATATTCAACGGAGATTTCCATTGAAATATTCCTCAAAATTTCGATGAAACTATTCTTTGAATTCAATTTTATTTTAGTTTTCTTCGGAATAACCTTGAAATTCTCCACAATAAGAAACCCTTTGGAAAGATTCTCCGAATATTCATTTCAGATTTCCTATTGAATCTCACTACTTGGAATTCTACTCACATTGAAAGTCTTCTAAGAATTCATTGGCATTTCTTCTCACCAATTCCTTAGATTTCTTCTGATAATTTGTTTGACAATCTCTCACTAGTCTTTCCAGAAATTCCTAAGAGTTTTCATTAAAATTTACATTTAATTCAGGGTTTCTTGAAATTCTACTCAAAACCAGCAGGCTTCACATGAAGTACACCTTGATTTTTATCTGCATCAATATGGAATGTAGTAAAATGGTTATTTTTTTATATATCAGTTGATCATAGACTTCGCCCAAATTTCTCAAACTTATGATTTACCTACTTCTTTGAGGCAGATTTGTATTGATTGTAAATCGAATGAATATCGGAAGCGTTTATTTATTTAAATAAAATCACTTTTGTAGAATCCGATGTCGGTCATTAGTCAACCTTAGCTCAATCTTCTTAACTGACACTGTTGTTGTGTGACGCCAAATGTTTCCGTAAGTAATCCTGCCTTGGATAACCCCTCCCACAGACATTGCAAATGTACGGCTTAATGCCCGTATGAGCCATGATGTGCCTCTTTAGGTCGCTTGAAAATGCATAGCTGGCGTCGCACAGGTGGCACTTGAACGGTTTTTCCCCGGTGTGCATTCGCATATGGGACTTTAGGCACGATTTCCTGGCAAATGTCGCCGGGCAAAGACTGCACACCAGCGGGCGATAATCCGAGGCGTGTGTGATGTAGTGATCTTTCAGATTGCCTTTCGTCTTGAATCCCTTACCACAAGTTTCGCACTTGAAATGGTCATCATCAATCGAGTGCGATTTTACGTGCTTACGGAAGGAATCTTTGATTGCGAACGGCTTTGAGCACACGGGACACACAAATGGCTGCTCTCCTTGATGGCGCCTCTCGTGGTCGGAAAGGGCGCATTTGTCCCGGAAGATTCGACCGCATTCAGCACATTGATACTGTTTGTTGCGGTAGGGTTTCAGCTTGTGATTTAGTAGCGAGCGTCTCGTTTTGTAACGGCGATAGCACACGTGGCAGGCGAATTCGTTGACTTTATCATTGTTGGCCGATTGGCTTTCCGGCAAATGAACTTCGATGCAATGTTTCTGCAGCGATTCTTCCGTGTCGAATTGTTCATAGCAGGCACAGCATTTAGGAAGTTGACCTTTCTTTTCGTCTAGTTCTTTGCCATGGGACTGTTTGTGGCTGTTCAGTTCAGTTTCTGAGATGAATTCTTGCTCACATTCGTCGCATTTAAAAGGCTTATCTATGTACATATCACGTTGATGGAACTGCAAAGCTCGCCTTTTAGTGTATCGTTTGAAACACATACTGCATTCGTGTGGTCGAGCAGCTATCTTCTGTGGGTCAATTATCCTCGAATAGAAGTGCACTTTAGAGTGTTCTTCCGATTGATCCGAATCTTCGAAGCGAGCTTTGCATTTACAGCACCTTTTCGGAGTAGATGACAGTTTCCGTTTCACGTATTTCCTTCGCTTACGTTCAGGAGTATCACCATCAAGATCGCTGGAGCCTTGTTCATCAGTTTGCTCATCCTCATTATTATCCTCCGCTGCTTCATTTTCATCTTCTTCCCCATCTTCATCATCATCATCGTTATCTGGCACATAATTATCGTCCTTATTGTCTTGGTCATTTTCATCCGCAGAACTATCACTACTTTCCTCTTTAATTGGAGCAGTGTAAACACATTCAATTTCCGATTCCAACTCGGTCTTAATAAAATCTTCCGTCAAATGTTTGTCCGTAAACAATTTCCTAAAAAAAATAGAAAGGAAAGTCATTGTACTATTGCGCTGTCAAAGTTGTATATTCATACAAGCTAAATACCCCACAGTGCATTTGTTCTCCGCCAGCTGATTACGAAACTTTGAGTCGGACTCCCGACAGCGAGCGATCAATTTGTATGCCACAACCAGATCACCCTTACAATCCATACAACATCGATAGGGAAGACCATCGTTTTCGCAGAACTTAAAAAAAAATACAATTTTAGCAACTTTAAGACCATCACAATTAAAAAAATACCTACCTCCAACTTGACGCAATACCACAGCATTTCTGTGAGTGTTTTCCCTTCCTCCAGGGAACACAAGGGGACCGTATTTTCCACCGTGTCGAAACAAATCCGACACGGTTGGTTGCTTATTTCTAACAGAGCCATAACTGCATAGTAAAATCCAATTTTATTCAACAAAAGTTTTGTGTATAGACACAATCAATGCTATTTTTGTTACGAAGCGATAAGTTTTTGTTGTTATGCTGACACCGAATGTCAAAAGTTTCAAACAACTAGCAATGCCGTTCTGAGTCATGCACAACCGTGATATGATGTGTTAGTGATATTAATCTACATTTTTTTGTGACGTCATAGCACGTTCACGAAAGTAAACGCAAAAGTATACGGTTCAAGTGAGTGTTGATTCAATCTGGTGGTCTATGAAAGCGAACAGAAAAGTTGACCATTTACCAAATGTCTAGTACCTATAACTGAAAAAAAACATACATACAAAAATAATGCAATTTCAGAATAAAAGTTTCCCTAATTTTGTAGTTTTAACTGTGAATATTGTCAACATTAAAGTTATATCTTTGGTTTGGAAGTATTTCTTTCACTTCTCACTTGTAATTTTAAAAGTGCATTTTGTATAATAAAAGTTAATAATAAAGCTGTCAAAAATACCGTTTAATAGTAAAGTTTTTGCGAAGACTTCATATCAAGAAGACTAGCAACTTTGCCAGAATCCAAGCGACAGATACAATTGCACTGCGCTTGAGTGAAGGTGGAAACAACGCATAGAAAAACGAGCAAATATACAAACCTTTCTTCTGAGCAGTGTTAACAAATCAAATCTCACCAAAGATCAAGATCACGCTTGATTTTCGTACACAAAAATCAACAAGCAAACAACAGTGATATTGCAGCTCGGAATATGAAGCTAACAAAACTTACCAACTGTAAATTTCACCAAATTGTGGTGAGTTTCATGATTTTTGCGTTACACTCGGACGCAACCGAAACTGCCATAACGGGGGGCAGCAGTTGCCTCGGGTCTGCCATCGGTAAAGAGAAACAAGAGATAGCATTATTATACCTTCTCTCTCTAAGAAAACGAATCATTTTTGCCTCGATTCAACTCTCAGCTTCAACTTTACACATTGTGAATAGTCTCGCAATATCAAAGGAGCTAATAAAATCAATTTCAAGCATAATACTTTTCTCCAATATCATGCGTGATATTGTGAGCGTATGAGAGCGGAAAAATATCAATTTGCTAATGATCACTGCTTCTGAGGATGTAATCTTTGCTATCAAATGCGTTCGAAGCCTTTACCTTTGAGCGGCAGATGACGCGATTGTACCTGTCGCATAGCGTTCGTATGATAAAATGGAAGAGTTGCCAGTCTTCTTGATATGTTTTCTTCGATTTTTGGCAGCATTGAACATCACTCCATTTGCAGCCAAATTTGAGTTGACGAGAGGAAAGGAATAAAAATTATTCTACGGAAATAAAATGGGTGGAATCGGTGTACAGAAGCTGGCACCGGTATAGATAGTGCAGTGGCAATCGATTGTGATTGTGATAGGTGAGTTGGAAATTTGTTTTTCTTAGGATCTATTAAATTTATTTTTACATTGTAGCTGAAGAGTCCGTTTACTCTTGAAAAACAAGCGCTTGTATCGGATGGTTCCTGCTTATCGCCGTAAACAGTTCTGTTATCATCGGTCCATAAATCCCGTAACAGAGTGAAGCGTCTCTCTTCGATCGCAAAGGACAATCCTCACACCAAGCCCCGCTACATTGCACCCAACCCATTATTCCGGAATCCGACCGCCGACCGTACGGGGGCATAGAGCGTCTGAACGTACAAGACAATTATGTACAGGGAATTATCTTGGACTATCTGACGGTGATCTGGCATCTGGAGGATGTCCTCAAGCATTCCATTTCCATAGAGTGGTACTGGGATTGCGGCGTCAAGTAATCCCCGCCTTCCTTTGTCGCCTTTAAGGATGGAAGCACGAGGAAAGTTTGAAATGGTCGTGCAGTCGAGGCTGGACCGAATACTTCGACCATTATAGGACGGAAAAAAATGGACGCAACCCATGCCACCATGAACAGTCGGATTAACCTTCCTTTGATTCCTAGGGCTCGTATTTAATCTGCGCTGGTCACATAAACAATGTTTTATTCTCTTTGTTTTTATACTACTAGCTGAGTGTGCCCGGCCTTGCTCTGGATTCAATCTTAGCTCGAGTTTATGCGCCAATTTAAAAAAAACATGCTATATTGTACGTAGCTCCCCCTCCCCTCTTATCTTAGGGGCTACCCCCTATGACATGCCAAATTTGGTTCCATTTGCTTGATTAGTTCTCGAGTTATGCAGAAATTTCTGTTTCATTTGTATGGAAGCCCCCCTTTACAGAGGGGGAGGGGTCTCGAACCATCATAAGAACCTTTCCCTGCCCCAAAAACCCCAGCATATAAATTTTCACGCCGATCGGTTCAGTAGTTTCCGAGTCTATAAGGGTCAGACAGACAGACAGACAGAAAGTAATTTTTATATGTCTAGAAGAAATGAATAGAAATATTTTTTTATAATATACATATGAGTATACAAATATGAGTTTTTAAACTTCAAAACTAATAATCTAATAATATTTCAAATTTAAACAATAATTATCATATATCCGGTTTTAAAATTTCGTTGAAAATCTTTGACCAATCAAGGCTCAAAGTTGTTCTTCCGGAAGAACATTTTCAGAACTCGGTACGGTCGGTTGAGATGCTGCTCATCGCACAGGTCCAGATCATACCGCTTTTCTCTTTTTGGAATTCTTTGCTAGCCTGAAACGGAACACATTTTCAAAATACGTGTCTTAATTTTCACCATGATTTCACTTCTAATTCTTACTTCGTAACGACCAAAATTCCTATGGCAACGATTTTGCATCGGTTTCGGCGCGTTCTGTCACCAATGAAACAGGCAATACTCGTTCTAGCACGATATTTGACCGAAACGCAGGTCACCGCTTGCGAAATTCGCGAATGATCGCAACACTCACTTGTTAAAAAAAAGTTAAACACTATGGGTCTTCACTTCATCAAAGATGTTGACAATGATTGAAAGCATATTCTTACCCATCTTTGATTGCAGAAGACATTTTCTCAAATGGGGTAAAAGCATCCGCTTTTCGTTTTTTTTTTCAAAATACCCATTTTTGACAGGTTTGAATTATAGTCGCTATATTCTGTATTCATAGTCTGTCGGATATAATTTTGATCTATCAAAAAGCGAAACCAATTCAATATGTTGAAATTGAAAACTTTTATAAACAAAACGTTGATTATTCTTTCCTCGCCAATGGAAGGTAAATTACCAGCCAGAGTTGGTAATAGAAGAGTTACGCACTGATGTCGATCAATGGCCTTTTTTTATTTTGCCAACCTTTGTTTTTGTTTACGCCTCATATGACTTCACCTGGGGCTGCCACGCTCGGAAGCATTTTGAGCTCGGTCCATAGATCCGTAGTAAGCTCAAAAAATTGTAGATTTATGTATAAATCCGTAGACTTGACAATACTGCAGTTATCGAATAACCAACCTTCTCTCATGATTATCAAAGCTGGTTAAAAAAAAACAGTTTATTACGGCTTCTATTATCTGCCGGATCTTACTTGAAGAGTGGTTTGATTTTTGGAAAGGTCGATCGACAATCATTCTCAGACGAAACAATTTGTTTAAACTCCTGCCATGCCATTTTAAGACGCCGAAAAAGCGTTTGACAATGGTATGATTGCCTGGTTTTACAAATTACAACAGATTAAAACGATTCAATCTTCCAATCATCCTCATAAGCGAATATATATATGGGGAGGAGGGGCATAGTGAACAAGTGGGGCATAGTGAGCATCCCGCAGTTTGGCCCTGGATCTCTAGCTGCATGAAACAAATCAACTGGTAGTAGGTTCAATATCATTATGATTTTGATCCTACCACCAATCAATTTGTTCCGAACGGCCGGAAGTCCAAGCTGGTGCACGGGATGCTCACTATGCCCCACCTGTTCACTATGCCCCTCTTACCCCTAATCTCTCGGTTAAGATACTTCGAACCAACGTTCAAATTTGACCCTATTTTTGGTAGCCGTAATAAAATCCAAATCTAAAAAACAGTTGGGGGTTGTAATCCGCAATTTAAACTTGATCAACCCTAGTGTTCAACCTTTACTTAGCAAAACTTGTGTTTAATGAGCAAACATATAATAAATTTTGTTACAGCATCAACAAGCTGTGAAGGCTGTGAAGCTGTGTGTGAACGAGTAGTGCATATTATTTACAAACAAAACACAGTGTCGAGTTTACATTTACGAATGTAAGTGTATGCGTTCAATCGCTCTGTTAAATTTTTGACATTTCCCCCATACAATAATTTCCAAAAAAAATATCAACTAAGCTTGTTTGTTCGCTGATTTGTGTCTCTATTAGATTTGATCATTTTTAATGGTGAAATGGAATAATTTTAATAATTTTAAATAGTGCACGGTAGTAACACAAAATGACTGCAGTAATGCAAGCTGCGGACTGTCGCATATGCGCTAAGACCGATGCGGACAACATGGAATCTCTATACGAGTCTATGCTAGATGGGAAGACGCCTGCCCAAATTATTGAGGAGTGTTTTAATATAATGGTAAGACATACCTACTAAGGCTTGAAGAATTGTTTTCATAAACATAAAGCTTTGATTTTTTAACCAATTTTAGATGATTTCGAGTGATGGACTGCCGAGCAAACTGTGTCATAATTGTAGGGAAGATTTGAAATCTGTGTTTCGATTTCACTCCACATTACTAGCATCTGAACAAAAATTTAAAGCTATGGTTACTTTGCCGAAAATTGAAATCACGTAAAGTATTTTTGTTGTTACTAATAGTACATGTTAGTATAAGCTTTTTTTTACAGTGAACCAGGTGATGGTAACATTTCGTCGGTATTCATCTCTGAAGTGTATATCAAATCAGAGGCAAACTCCGAATGTGAAGAGGTACCTCATGATAACTTTGACACTGATGAAGATGATGAGCCTATAGCGCGACGAAAAAGTCGCAATAAAAGGCGAAAGAAGGAAAAAGACACTCGACTCGACTCAGAATCGCATAATGAAGACCAGGAGTTGGACATAGCAGATGAATCAATAGATCAGAAACCAATTGATGGGCAAGACGCCAAACCGGATACGTCGAAGCCAGCAAAGAAAAGATGGATAGACATTACACTAGATATGAACTCCTCCGATGACGATTCATCCAGTAATGACCACTATTCCGACTACGATAGTGCCAATAGTTCGAGCGGCGATGGTGAAGATCGGAAGCCGAAGAAGAAACGCCTGTACTACGGCGTTAAAGCAGACTCACAACCGAAGAGATGTTGCGATTGCAAGGATTTTCCGTTGGACAGCCATGAGAAAGTACAGGAACACTCCGACAAATATCACTACCGGTACCGAGTGACCAACGAAAGGGATATCGAGGAGAATCCTTTCGAATGTCCGCACTGCTTCAAACGGTTCGAGTCAAAGAAGGAATTTCTGCGCCATCAACGTAAGATGTATGTGGAAAGACTGCATCCATGCCCGAAATGTGATGAGGAGTTTGCCAATCAATATGTACTGCAAAGACATCTTAAGATGTATCATAAGAAAAAGATGATTATTGAGCGTATGGAAGAGTTGCGACAGGAATCGCACATCTGTTGCGCTTGTAAGAAGAAATTTGACTCACAAGAGCAACTTCGGGCTCACGCAGATGAGGTTCATCTCAAGGAGAGCCAAACTTATGATGGTGAGTATGAGTTTGAATGTGATGTATGCTATCGGCGTTTCAAAACGCGTCAATCAATGAAAGTGCACCAATATCGGATGTTCAAGGGTAAGAAATTCATCTGCGCTCTCTGTGGTAAAGCTTTCAAAGAGAAGGCATTTCTTCGTGACCATGAAAATTCCCACAGAAGAGAAAAGCCCTACGAATGTCCCAAGTGCGATGCCCGTTTCTCCATCAAGGGATCTTACGATGCCCACGTCCGGTTACACGATGCAAAGGATGAATTCAAATGCGAATACTGTGGTCGTGGATTCCGAACAAAAAGTTTGCTCAAAGGACACCTTACGGTTCACTCGGAAGATCGTCCGTTCAAATGCCATCTGTGTCCGATCACGTTCACTCAGCAGCGTCTACTGGATTCCCATATCGAGTTCCACTTGGGAAACAAACCGTTCAAATGCCAGCAGTGTCCGGCATCGTACCGTTACCAGCGAGATTTGCGGGGCCATGTCCGTGAGAAGCACGAAGGAATTCTCAACTTCCAGTGTACGTTCTGTCCGAAGGCGTTCAACCGGAAGAAGCCATTGATGGTGCATCTGAAGACGCATGAAGCAATCTAATGTAGGTTCGTGTCTCTGTGGATTGTCAATAAAGTAATATTAATATTAATGATGCGGAACATATTGTGTTTTTTTGTTTGTTTGTCACTGAACGTGAATTAAGTAGCTATGATGGTATTAGAATACGGTTCTTAACGGTAAGACCAATGCAATAATTATAGGAGAAGGTGGAGTGCAAAGTTTATCACATTTACCCAAAACTATTCGAGTCTGAAGTTTTGGATGACAATCTTGGAAATAATTCCAGGTACCTCGTGGTGCCCGTTCACCGCTTGACCTCCATTCACTGCTCATTATTTCAAAATTTTTTGAAAATGTTCACAAGTTGTAAAACATGCATTTTACCGACTAATTAGATGCCTGTTAATGATTTGTAACGTTCTACACATTATTGATGTGATTATTGCCGAAAAAAACCTTTATTTACAAAATAAACATAAAATAGTAATTAAGCCTCAACAACTTACAAACCATATGTCACTTTAAATAGCTAGAAAATTTAAAAATAGTATAAAGTAATATTTCCCAATATTTCCACTATGAAATGAGCGGTAACTAGAATCCTTTAGATTTGCTAATGAGCCTCAAATTTATTATTGATAGCATTTTTTTAAGTTAGAGAGTGTATTGTATAAGAGAGGAGCGACTGGTTTGAGTCAACCGAACTGTCAAAGCCAGTGTTGCTAGAAACCACCCAGGCATAAGTTGTCAAGGCAGATTGTTTTGAATCCCCGCTTCTCTTATACTAGACTGTCTCTAGTGTCTCAAATTAACATAATTTTGCTCTAAAGTGAGCTGTAAACGGGCGCTATACGGTATTCAAGAGAATTCACGAGAAAACCATTTAAAAGCGAGTTCTTTCAAGAGAAAAATCAAGTGCAACTCCAAGGAATTACATGAACATTACAGAATTTATTCCATACTAATTCCATGACAAGTTTAGTTGGTTTGGCAAAATTTCATTGTGTAGTTTTGATGTTGGAAAGGCCTCAATTTGCACATATTTCGCAATGAATGAAGATGATTCTTCGAAAATATCAAAACGATACTCGGCTAAACCCTCTAAGGAAGCCGACTGGGAGAGGTAATCACGCTTATCACTACACCATCGGCGCCGCTATCATATATACTCATCCCAAGTAACAATTTTGGTTTTATCATAGTCTTGTAGGCATGCTTGGCATGCACAGTTGTACACACTAATACTTGTTAATAACTTTTAACTCAGTAGTTGAAATTTAGTTTCCTTTAAAGTAATTGATAGATTAGGATCACAGTTTACTGTAGACATGAAAAGAGTGGGTAAATCTTATCATTTGAATCAACACCAATGAATTTTTACACTTCAAGTCCGAGATATACAGCGAGCATTTCTCACTTCATTTTTACAACGCAAAATCAAATACAGTTTATTACTAGAATTACACCCAACCGGAGGATGTACCCTCCCCTTGGCTAGTTTTTGCACCTTGATGTTGGTGGGCGGGCTTAATTTCATGCTTTTTAGTGGAGTGTTGGAGACGGTAGGTTTATGGCCGGCGTTGCTGGCTCATGCCGCGATAGAATGGCGCCATGGGCAGGCAATGGGGATTACTAAGCTTCCCCTCTCTGATAAACCACTGCATGAGAGAACCAAAGATCTAGTCTAGCAGTGATAGTATCACACTTGTTACTCCTTTAATTGAGAGCCGCGTCGTAGTACGCTTACGTATAGGCACTGACGTTGGGTGTGATACTGGCGGGTTTTGCCGCAAATCACTCTTAATTTATTTATTTTTACGCAGATAGATTTATTTGGGTTTGCAAGGGAATTATACTATTGAAATATTTCAGAAAGTGCCCATCGGTGCTCCTTCTATTTGCGTGACAAGCTTTCATTGTTGTTTTCATTGAAGTATTATTCAGGAAACAATGTTAAACACCATTTTTGTACATGGTATTGTAACTAATCTTATATGTGCTTCATTTTGATTTGGGATAAGTGTTTGAACTATGACTCGGGATTTCCACTGTGGTGTGCTTTTATTGTGACATACCCATATGTATTTTTGTGGTGCGACATAGTGGAAACGTGAGAGCGTAATTGGAACATTTACCCTATACAATATACAATTTAAAATTAGCTTGGACACTTACTTCAAAGTGAAGCATTTTAGTCACTTGAAGGTGTCACCTGGGACGAACAAAGATATAATTAAAATATGTCAAAGCCAGAAGTACTTGAAACATGTTAAATTTAAGTTTAAAGCATGAATTATGATTGTGTAGGTTTAGAGATTTCAGTTATTTATTAAATAAACTTCAATTAGAGAATTCAGAAAGTTAATTAACATAAGAGATAGGACGCGGGGGGTCCGCTTAGGGAGGCGACTAGCCTTTGAAGTTGTATAATAAATCTTCCTATTTAGTGTATTTGTTAATTACAGGCAATGTTAATAGCGAAAGTCATATCTTCAACCAGACGCTTACGAACAAGTAAAGTTTTAGGAAAGATGTGTTAAATATGTTGATAGGTTTGAAATAAGAATTAGGATTGTTGGGCTTTAGGTAAGGTATGATGTGTCAACAAAACCCTTTTGAGCAAATTTTCAGACATCAAAGTGATCGAGTGATTTATTGAAAGACATTGCGTTGCGAAAATTGACAAGTCATACATCTAACATAGTAGTAGTAGCAGTGTCGCATAATCTTATCACAATTGCTGCAAATAGTGCTGGAGGGGCCGGCAGGACTGAATACGGATCAAAACTAACATAACTACTAACACTAAAATGATCCCGGAACTAACACTTATCCATTGCACTAGTTATATATTAGTTTTATTTAGTTTTTTTTACTAAGTTATCTATGCTTCTTTCTAGTCTTTGGATTAAGTACAACTAATACTAATCTACCTTTATGTATGTTTTACTCCCTTTTAACCCATTATCTTTATGAATGGCGAATCATATGACGTGAGACACGGGGATTTCAATTGACTAAGGAGAAGGAAAAGAATAACTTCGAAAAGGATATCAAACAAATTCAGGACCAATCCAAATGAGACCAGAAATCAACAAGGCATCGGGGCGTTATATACTCGGTGAGGTAATTGATAAATAATCAAAAAGTGGTAAGTTAAATCAAAGTGGAGCCAAGGATCATGAGAGGTAATTGTCTATAATTCATTAAATAGTAGAAATCACGATAACTTTTTCAAGGGAGCGTATCGGCTTTTGAGGGCGGTGCGTTTGGTCGTCGATTTGGCGTAGCTGGTGGCTCGCCCACGCATGCTAGCACTATCATCAGATAGGGAAATTTTCCTCTACCTGGTAGTGGTGTTGGTAGGCGTGCGCGAGCTGCCGGTTGCGCCGGGTCGACGATCGGATGCATTGTTTGCAGGAGCTGGTGCTTCCCTTTGAAAAAGTAATCGAGAAACAACCATATTATCCTGTAATTGACAACAAGACAAGTGGGGGTTAATACACAAGACAAAATGACAAAATAAGTGACGACAGAAGACAAGACTGGGACAAAAATCAACCTTAAAAAAAAAAAGAATGCGCAATTATATTATCAAAACTATTTGGATCAGCACAAAAACAACAGTGACCAAATGGGCACCATAGTCTAGGAACGTCTGTGTGTTGATTTAAAATAGAGGCTCATAGAAGCAAAAATTATCAATAAAAGGGGTCCAGTGTAGAGTTTAAGCAAGTGCTGCCACTGGATCACTACAAAAAAAAAAAAAAAAAAAAAAAATTACACCCAACCGGAGGATGTAAGATTCGCTTACAATTATGTGGGATTCATGATCAGAGGATGTTAGTGGATGCGATATACCTAGCTGCGGTCCAATGCAAGAAAATTGGAGACCGAAAAATGTAGAGTGTATTAGTGAGGTAAATTAGTTATGTCGAAAAAAATAGGACACAGATTGCCGACTGGACTCGAACCACGACGTTGCGATTATCAGACCAGTGCTTTCTCCACTGCTCTCTCCATGCTTCTGAATATGGATAGCCTAAAAGCAAACATCAAGCGTTCATTTTCTCGCATACTCGACTTCGTATGCTTTTTCTGCTGGAGAGATTCGAGGCAAGTGTATGCGTCGTTCTACAATGTTCTACAATGTGCGTCGTTCTACAAGCTTACTGGTTTATTCGAAAGCGTAGATAGAACACAAAATAAAAAAGACAAAAAACCATTACATCGTCTGCATGGTCAATTTCTAACTTTCGTTGCGATGTTCATGAACAGAGGATGATAGGAAACGGAACTAACATTCATTGTAATACATTTTTGGTTTGCGAGTACGGTTTTCCGAGTGGAGTAGTTCTAGTATATCCTGTTACGAAGCTACTTGAAGATAGAGAAGCAAATTCATGCCAATAAAAAATGTCCGATCTCAAATTCCTTGCGTGCACGATCATCCTCATAATCGATCATCATCATCATCATCGATCATCATCACCATCATCGATCATCATCATCATCGATCATCATCATCACAATCAAAGAACTGTAAAAATCATGAGAAGGTTGGTCCAGGGATAAATTTAAAATTAATTTCTACACCTTTTGCTAACCAGTTACACAGATCTGAATCTGCAAATCTCACCGGGATAAGACACGAATGATCCAAGAGTGTTAGAGTGACTATAATAAAATAAATAAAGACCTTAACTCCAGGCATTTTGTAAAATCTAACAAACCAAACCAATGATATTATGCAGCTTCACAAAGATTAACCCATTCTATCATTAAGTCGAATCATCGGATAATTTTGTTGAGTGTGCAGAACTCTAGGATCATATATCCGGGATGATTTGGATAATCCAATATTGTTATTTTTAATCACAATTCATAACTTTAAATGATTTTATGAGTCACCGTGAAGTACAAAATGCTCAAATGCTTTGAGTGAACATCGAACAAAATTTCGGTTAACCTGTTAAATATCTCCAGGACAATTTGGAGAATGATACATTTTTGGTAACACATCTTTGTATTCCACAAAATGTTGTTTGGTTTGTAGAACTT